CTGAAAACATTTTAAAATTACAATTCCTTTTTCCAACTATATATCTGTGTAAGGCCATATTTTGTGCATATACTACAACCAAAACAACTTACTGCAACAGACTGAGTAAAGGATACAAGATTCCAGCTGTCTTCTACTATACACAACAGTTAGTAAGTTTGCACAAACACAAAAGAATGCCACTCTCTGGGCTTTAAAAAAGTCACTTTTCATTGAAAATTTTTATAATAACATGCACTAAGTTTATTATTGCTATTTTTAAATAAATAAATATTTCTCTATTTTCTCAGTTTTAATTTCTAATACAGCAGACTACATGAACAAAGGCTTTAGGAATCTGCATAATATTTTAAAATGTAAGCGTTCTGAGTCCAGAAAGTCTGAGATTTGCTGGCAGCTAGGTTTGCAACTTGGGAAGCGTGGATTCTAGTTTCAGTTTTTCACTTCACAGCTACATGACACTCCTTCCTCTCTTGAGTTGGGACCTGATGATTTCTAAAGTCCAAGAAAAGACTGTAATTTTATGTTCCTTACCTTGAAGGTATAGATGTCATTGTAACAATCAGCACTTTTCAGATACCAGGTTATATTCAAAGGTACATCACAAGGTTCTCCATCAACTATAAAAGAAGAATCTTTGTGAATAAAAGATGATTCCTAAACCCCACATCCCATTTATTTCCTGCCAAGATGAGAGACTCAAAGACCATCCCTCCTCCTAACAGAAGATAATGAAGTAATACATGCAAAAATAACTGGATAGTCTTTGGATAAATTAAGTATTGTTACTCACAAAAAGAAAAAGCAGTTAAGCAGTTTTTTAACCTTTGAAACTATATCTATTTTTATGCTTAAAAACCTTGATTTCTAGTTCTCTGTTGGGAAAAACCTGGAAATAAAGCATTAAAACTAGTATTCTATTATCATTCAAATATTTATTGAGAAGAGCATTTAAATACAATGCTACATAGCACTGTTAGGCCAAAGACAGGAATAGGAGGGAACAAATTACTAAGACCCTTAAAAAGGCTACATTCCAGTTGGAGAAATAAGGAATAACATTATGTCACAAGGCAATATTTAAAATAGTTCCACTGAGGGGGGAAAAAAATCATGGCTTAAATCCTTAAAGATATCAAGTTTGGATAGAAAAAACTATGAATAAAAAGCAAACCTGGCTGAGGAAAGTAGGAATAGCAAAAGCAAAAACAAAGAATATTAGATTCTTTTCAAAACTCACCTTAAGAGAGGCCTCAAGGAACTTTATGAAATCATAAAAGCCTCATATAACTTATTAAACATAGTATGGGACACAATATTCTAGGAGATCAGGACATTAGTCTGAGGACTTGGAAGTATAAATCTTACTATATAACTGATTAGCTGTTTCACCAGGGGAAGTCGGTATTTTTATCTTCTTTCTTTGATTCTTGCTGTTGAAGGGAAAATATACTTGAGATACCAACTTTATGCAAACAACAGAGGTTGACATGACTGCATCTAGGAACCAACTTTTGGTTCTTAACAAAAGAGGTACACCTAAAGTTATAACCTCTCCCTGTTCTGTTTTAAATTGTTTTCTCAAACTAGTTTTTAAATGACATAATTTTACAAGATTCAATTAAAGTAACACAAAAATCTGATGTGTTAAACAGAATTTATGGGAATGATAAAAAGAATATTGCAATCTTGCTATGAACTACTCAAAAGAACCACACACAGAAGGGATTAAGTAAAATTAAGAAGTTCTCCCAAACATGAAATCTGCAGGGAAACTTGGCTGTAAAAATATTACTATTAATGTAAAAAGACACCAGTAAGAATTTTGAATGGATAGCTTCAAGAGATAATGAAAAAGTTCCTGCCAGTTTCATGGAAAGCTATATATAATGCAACCACAAAAGTGTAAGATCAGAGACAAGGTAAATATGAGAAAGCACACAAGTAAAGTGAAAGATAGTGTAACTTTTAAGGAGCCGCAAACCCTCCAAAAACAAAGAAATGTGGACAATTCAAAATACGTAGTTTGTGTAACTTGGCAAAATACCATTAGATCAAAATACAGGTGAAAAAAGACTGTACATAATAAAAGGAAAGAATAGTATACAGGCTGTCAGACAAAACACTTCTACTCCTAAAAGCAACTCTTACCTAGTAAATCAACCTCATAAGAAAGACCAGTGTGTCAAAGTAAATTTGATTTAAGTTAAATTTAAGTCATTAATCAGGAGATTATACTGTCATGGACATAGTATATTCTTCATAGAAATTCCACCTGCCTCCACCCCCCATAGATTATAAACTCAACAAGACAACAGGCCTTTTCTATCCGTCTCAAACAGTGTCTGGCACACAGTAAGTTTTTAATAACTACTTACTAAATGATTAAAAGAGTAAAATCACTGAACTATGACTTCCACCTTTGCACTTTCATAGAGATAGATATGCATAGAAGCACACATGGATGGCTTAGATTTTATCCTTGATCTTAAAAATGGAGCTGCCGTAATCATTTGTTCTCTACAATAAAGCCAGTTTCAGAAATAAAAGGAAGCTTTTCTTTAATACACAATGGGATATTCTGGATTCAGAGACAGTGGTTTTTCAACTGGACAGACTGGTTTTGTTCTACATAATCCCTATTTCCTGATAATGTCTTTGAAATTCCTCTTGCAAAGATTCAACTGGTAAAATACTCCTTTTGTAAACAAAAGATTTAGTGAACATATTCATTTAGAGCCAATGATCTGACAAACCTGTCATGTGTTCAGTAAATACCTAACAGGCACACAAAAGCAAAATCAGTAGTATCTCTATAACTCAAAAACAGATTAAAACTCCATGCTGGCAATCAACCAACACAATTGGTCTAACAATATGGTTGACTCAAGCAACGTGGTTTGAACTGCACTTATACATGGAATTTTTTGATAAATACCTGTACTGTTTTCATCAGCAGTTAGGAGTCCACAGATGCAGAGGGCCAACTATATGCACTGTTCTACACCATTTTATATAGGGGACTTGAGTGCTCGCGTTTATGTGTGTCGGGTGGTAGGGGGTATCTTGGAACCAATCTATCCCCTACAGATACTGAAGAAAAACTTAAGGAGGGAGTCAAAAGTTACATGTGGATTTTTTTGACTGCATGTGGCATGAGAGCCCCTGATCTTCTCATTTTTCAAGGGTCAACTGTATAAACACTAGAAAAATGAGAAGTAACATTCATACAAGTAAATATTCTGAAGATTATTCAATGAAATAACCTTAGTTATACTACAAATGCTTATGCCTAGATAGTGCTGGACTATTAAATTTTAGAACTTATGTGGAGAGTGAATCATCATAAGTAGAAAATAGGTCATTTAAAAGTTTAAAAATCCCTCAAAAACTCAAAACAAAAACTTCATGAAATACAAAAACTCACATTTCAGGAAGATAGTGGTATTTTTGAAGAGGATCTTTCCAAAGCTAAAATAATTTTTCCCCTGAAAAGATAAAGGAAAGGTAATTAGCATGAGATCACTTTAATTCCCAAGGCAGAATATAAATGCAATAACAGCCTACAGTTACAAAATGTTCAAGTTAGTTTTCTTAACAAAAAGGGGAATCAATAGCCTTTAGTAAAATTCCACCATATCCCAACCGCAGGATTTTGAAGCTTGGCATAGACATTTTTTCCCCCCACAGGCCATAAGGCAAGAGCTCTGGAAGGAAGGCAGCTGTTAAGTCCCAACTTAAATCTTGACAGAAGGTACTCTTTAATCAGCTCATCCCCTTTACTCACTCATCACTGGTCAAAAAACCCAACAATTTCTTCAAATAAAGTATTCTATGAGCAAATAGCCAGATTTAACTTATTTTAGTAACAAATACCTAAAATTGAGAACCTGAAGATCGTCACCAAATGAGCAAAAGCTATAATGCTTGTGATATAAAAGCTCAAATAAGATTTGGACATTACAACCAGTGAGGAGAACAAAATGAAACAAAAAGGCACCATGGTTTCAATAGGACTAATGCTTTTTGGCATTTCCTGCCTGCATCTAATTTTTGTCCGCTCACAGGACTACAGCTCTTACTCAAATGAAGTATAAAAGGGGAGAAGGAGGCAGAAAAGGCAAGCTTATCTAATTAATAGTCCACACGAAAGACTAGCCTTATCATATCAAATTTCAGAATACTATTTCTTCCATTTTAGCCATTTTCGTAATAGAATATTTTTTTTTTATGTCTAGGTTTCCTAATCACACTGCAAAGCTTAGAATAACCATTTCAAAGTTCAAACGAAATAGTACGTATAACTTCGTAAGTAGAACTATTCAGCAACAACGGAAGTGCAGAAGAGAATAAAGATGCCTATTTACATATTCCTCATACCCAAGGCGGGGTCACTAAATTCTGTAAAACTTTCGCTTACCCGTCTCAAGTCAGGCACGGAAAGGTCCCTGTGCTAAGAAACGGTTCCACCACTCCTCTCCACTCCTAATGTGGCACTGACATTCCTGCTAGTCTACCAACAGAGGATCACGGCTTTCCGCTCCGGGGAAGTGGGCCCCCGTTAACCCGCGCGACGAGGGCGCTCGGGCAATCCCAGCCCTTGGGAAGCTGACTTCTGCAGAACTTTCATGGACCCCTTGGGCCGCCGTAGCCCCACCCCTTGCTCCTCTAGGCTCAGTTGCCTCCGAACACTCACCGACGGTATCGGAATATGCCACTTGGATCGGTCAGTAGCAGCGACGAGTACAGGTCCTACACCGAAAAGCGACAGTGGGGACGGCTGAGCCCCCAGAAGAAGAAGAATGACAGGCAGCACCTGAAGCCACGCAGCCGCCGCCATCTTCACAGACATGGAGTGTCTACCGAAAGCATTTCACCTTCTTCCGGCTCGTCTCGCCCTCTTCCGGCTCTGCTCTGAGGAGGTAGGGGGCGGAGCCGCCGGGCTCTCCAAACCACGCGAGGCTTGTTGGGAGACTCAGCGGCCCCTCCCTCCTGAAGTTGTCACTTTGTTGCGAGGCTTTGGAAAAACTGCGCAGGCGTCGTCCTGTCAAAACCTGGTCGCCTTAGCGAGTTAAGATGATCTCCAAAAGCATCTCAGCTTCTGTCGGCTCTTCTCATTCTCCTAGCCCTTAACGGGTTTGGGGACCAGGTAAGCACCCCCTGTAGTGTTTGGCTCCCTCCTCCTAGTCACTCCAGCCCCTTCCCCCGTTTAACCCAAAGCCAGACTTCGGGACCAGAAGCCTGGGAAAGCCGGAGTAGCCTGGTTGCCGGTTCGGGGTCTAGCAGTGAGTTACTGGTTTCTGTGGGTAATAAGCAAAGACAGGAATTTGGCGGTGGTGCAGTATAAGCGATTACTAGACTGGACTGTGTAATAAATAACCTCTTTAAAAAGCCCTTTCTAGCCCTGAAAAGTATGACGCTACTGTAGAGTTTGGGCGGAAAACATGAAGCTCCAGCAAAGACCTGGCCGGCACTTCCCACTCAAAATTAAAAACAGGGAGAAAGTGGATCGGCTTTCAATATATGGCGTGACTGTCACTGAGACAGACCTGCAGAAGCTTCGCCCCAATCAGGCAGGCCATCTCCGTACTTAATGGTTCACAGGCTCTTGAATTTTCAACCTCTAGAACTCTGCCTACACCCCCTCTGCTGCAAAGACATTTTCGGTTCCTAACGAAAGCAGTTTCTCATCAGTCACCCATTACCAAGAAAAATTTGCTAAATAAAGTATATCCCTGTAGAAACATTCGTTTGGTTCTGGAAGTTCCAGGAGGAAGGGGCGAGTTGTCACTCCTTAAGGACCTGGAGGGGACTCCCAGAAACTTGACGGTGGTGAAGCGCTGGTGGTAATTTCGAAAGAGACCTCTCTGCGTTTTTTAAAAGATCACCCAGGAACTTGGACTGAGAGCTGAGAGCCTGTGTAGTGACTTAGAAGCCATGGAAGTATCCAGAAAAGAGGAAATCAGGTAAAGACCCAGTGATCCTGAAGGGACAGACTCCAGGGTCCACGGAGGCAGGGGATAGTGCCTGCAAGTACCTAAAAGCTACCTTCTGGCTTTGAAGGTTTTATTGTTTGATTGCACTTCTTATTTGCAGGCCTTATATTTGCATACTTTATCATTTCTCCTTAGTTTTCCAGGGATTAATGAATATTAATAGCTCAACCTTCATAAAAATACTTTCAGGATGGTTAACAAAACTGGGAGAGTTGTGATCAGAACTCTAACACATGAAATTTCAAACATGCTGCTTACCAAATTTGGCTATACCCACCTCTTCCCATATCATTCCAGAGCTCATTCCTCAGAGCTGGAAAGAGGAGACTGCAAATTTCTTAATCTTTGCACACTTGATTAAAAGAAACAGTGACAAAAGATTTGATTACTTCTATGATAAACCATTTTTTTAGTATGGCCAAATGTATCTGCCTGGGCTTGTTTTCTTAATATTTTCAAAATGGTGTTCAGCCATAGCTTTAATCATAGACATGCTGACTACAGCTGCATTCAGCCACACCTCTGCATGAAAGCCAATGGTTCCCCCCCCCTTATATCCTGCAGTTGTTTTAATGAGCATATGTTAAATACATAATTTCAATTAGCAGTATACATATATCTTGTTCATGTTCTATTCCAGAAACAGCTTTCTGGAAACTTGGTCTGAAAAAAAGCACTGACACCTAGATTGTCAGCATCATCATAAAAAGCTAATAATTTTTCTCCTACACCTATTTCTATTCTTGTTCTAGCACTTTGCACATATCTCTGTCATAGCATATCAAGTAGATTTGGGGTTGTTGGTTAGGCTCTCACAGAAATCTTGAACACAGCCCTTCATATCTACCTTGGAGGCCAGCACTCACTAAGAATATTCTGAAAATATTTTGTTGAATAAATAAGTGGTGGGTTGTTTTTGTTTGTTTGATTTAGTTTTTTTGTTGTTGTTATTCCTTCAGATTTTATTATTGTAGTCATAGCCTTTGCTTATTATGTTACTGATGAATTTGGGTTCTTGTCTCCTGATATAAAATAATTTAGACCAGGGACACTGATACAAGCACAGGCAGGCCCTGACTGGTGTCGCTCAGTGGACTGGGCGTCCTCCCACAAACCAGAGGTCCCTGGTTCCATTCCCAGTTAGAGTACAAGCCTGCATTGTGGGCCAGGTCCCTAGCTGGAGGTGTGCAAAAAGCAACCAATTGATGTATCTCTCACACATCGATGTTTCTCTCCCTTTCTTTCTCCCTCCCTTCCACTCGCTCTAAAAGTAACGAAATAAAATCTTTTTTAAAAAATGAAAAATAAAACACAGGCAGATTTATTGAGGCTCTGCAGAGGGCAAGAAGACAGATAGGTCCCAGGTTATGAGAATCAGATGTGGGGCTCAGTTTTTATGGCTTGAGGATATAGAAATTGCTAGGGTTAACCAGAGAATTGGTTAGCAGGCTTCTCCTTTTTTGGAACACTGATGTCTTGAGTGTATGTCAGCAAAGCGAAGCATCATCTGGGACTGTGCAGCACTTACAAGATGCAGGAAGGGACTTTCCCAGACAGGTATTGAGTTTGTCTCTGCGGTTAGTGGCTTCACTTTAGATCTGCAAAACAAACTTAAAAGAAGTGACAATAGTTCCTGGACCATTGTTTTATAACTATCTATTGATAACTGCCATAGTACTGGCAGGGATTGACAGAATGGAACAATTTTGGGGAATGTTTTATTCTACCTGTTTCAATTATTTTACTTTTTAATTGAATTTATTGGGGTCACATTGGTTAGGAAAATTATATAGTATACAAGTATTGTATTGTGCGTTCACCACCCCAAGTCAGGTCTCCTTCTATCACCACTTTTTACTCATTATTTTAAAAGAATCCTTTGTCATAAGTAACAGTGCTCTTTTTCTGTTGCTTTCAGAGTAATCCCAGAACTTCATGTTTTGTTGTTTACCTTGGGTGATTTTAAAAAGGATCTTGTTCTGCAGCACATGTTACTGTGTTATATTGTGGCCATGACACAATTTTGCATTGCCGAGGTTTACTTCCCATGATTGGTTTGTTTGTTTTTAAGATTTTTATTTATTACACTTACCTGGCAGGGAAGATACCATGATCCTGAAGGGGTTTTCCCAGGGCGAGGCTCACCCATTGCATTCCATGTGCTGACCCCTGCAATTTCTCCACATGTGGGAAACTTGACTGCACAATTTGTGGTAGTGGGGGACTGCGTTTGCACTCTCCCTTGAAGACAAAACAAAACAAAAAAATATTTTTATTTACTTATTTTTAGAGAAAGGGGAAGGGATAGAGAAAGCAAGGGAGGAGAACATCAGTGTATGAGAGAGACATCTGTTGGTTGCTTCTCACACACCCCAAAGTAGGGACCTGGCCTGCAACCCAGGCATGTGCCCTGACTGGGAATTGAACCGGCAACCTTTATGCTCACAGGCTGCTGCTCAGTCCACTGAGCCACACCAGCCAGGGCTAAAATAACTTTCTTAAAATGTCTATTTTTTTAGTGTTGAAGATGAAGCTGCGGATAAAGACATTTTCAAAGACTGTAGCAAGATTGCTTTCTACAGGTAAGGAGAGGAAATGTGTTACTTAGATGAAAACATTTCTGACAATATTTCAAAATTGATGTTTAGTAAATTTTTGAGAACTGATAGGCTTTCTAAGGAAAGAGCCAATTAAGAAATTCAGTGATTAAGAAATTTATCACATTTGCCTTTAACTTTATACACTTAACTACTATGGTATCTAAATTTTTTAGTAAATAGGCAGTTTATTTTAAACGTCAAAGTGTTTTTAAACTGATGTTAAAATTTTATGTCTTTGAGTAGATAATACATTTACATGGTTCAAAAATCAAATAATATGAAAAGATGTACATTGAAAAATATTATTTTCATTCCTGTCCCCTTCCACCCAATTCCATGTCTTGTTCTTAAAACTAGATTTATTATCTTCTTATTTATCCTTCTAGTATTTCTTTTTGTTGACTGGATATATTCTCATATCACCACCCTTCCCAAACCAAGTAGTTTTTTATATCTACTATTGTGGACCTCTTTTTTTTCTCCATCATAGTTTATTCTGAAGAGCTATGCATGAGTATATGGAGATTGTCCTCTGTTTTACAGCTATATAATATTCCATTGGGTACATGGTGCTATAATTTATTCAGTTTTTCTCATATTGCTAGGTTTTGGGATTGTTTTGCTATAATAGCACTGCCACAATGAAAAGCTATACATATGTAATTTCCTTCATAAGCAAGTGTATTTATAGGATGAATTTCTCAGAATGGGATTACTAGGTCAAAGAGTAAATTTATTTGCAATTTTAGCTATTACAATATATCCCTCCTTAAGGACTGTATCATTTTGTACTTCCATCACCACTATTTAAGATTGCCTTTCCCCAGAGTCTTATGTGATCCTGAAATTGAAATCACCAAAATTGTATCATGTATTACAACTTTCTAATTTATTCACCTGCACTGGAGGAAGAAAATCATATCATTTTAATTTGAACAAGTACCTTAGAGAGAACTCTATAGTGAACTCCTGGTCATCTTGTGAAACCACTAAATTATATTGGATTTCCGTTAGAATTTATTGAGTTTCTAAACTCAAAATATTTTTTTCTAAAAATGTACACTAAATTTTAAAGTGTACATTTTATGGAAAGAGAGAGTGAAATTAATAAGCTAATAAATGTCAACTATGAAAACTGCCCTACCTCCTCAATAAAGGGGACAAAATACCATCCTTGAGCAGTGTTATATTGAACAATTTTATTAGTATTTTTCTTATTAATACTAATTTTATTAGCACTCTAATAACAAAGTACTCCTCTAAGTACTTTATTGGACTACTAATACTGTCTGTGCCCACTTCACTTATTATCATAGTAATTTTAATGACTTCCTCATGGTAATATAGTCTGTTGGGTGCTGACAGTCACAAATAATTCTCAGGCATCTGTATACTCCATATCCGTAGGCGTCAGAAACAGCAGCTCTCCAAGAAGTCCACCTATCAGGCATTACTCGATTCAGCCACAACAAGCAAAGACAGCACCAGTTTCCGAATCATCAGTGAAGCAACTAAGGTGAGACACAAGTATTTTCTACAGAGGATTATTTATTTCTATATTTATTTGTGTTGAATGAAGTAAATTTCCACAAAGGCTAATTAAAACTATGTATGTTTTAAAAATAAACTTTGTTAGACAAGTACTGTGATCTTTTTCATATCTGTACTAGTATTACTCTAAAAATAATATGAATATCAATATATAGATTGCCTGTGTATCAGATGCTTTCCTAGATGTTTTACAAATGTTTTTTCTTTCAATTAGTCTTCATAATACATCCGAAAGACACATCGTATTATCCTTAATTTTCAGAAGGAAATTGAAGTCTAAAAAATCACTTGCTCAGAGTCGCAGCTAGTGACCAGAATCTTTTCTAGTGACAGCGAGGAGCCAGAATTTTCTCCCTCATCTGTGGACTCTATCAAGCACCCATGCTCTTTCTATCACTATTACACAACATACAGTTGAGCGTGCACCCTGGGCATGGTACAGATTCAGCGAATATCCAAACCTCAAAATGTGGGTAGGCAAGGGGAGCAAGGGACTGTGTAGTTGAAAAACCTAAATCACAAACGTTCCATCTCCTGAGCTGCTTTACTAGCAGGTCACCATAGTTATAATATACTGAAAAGATTAGAGTTTTATTATATCCTAAGTTCTTTTCCTCACCTGTCAAGTCACCAAACTATTTCAGATGGGCCAGACATAGAGGAAGTGCTATGGTTTGGGCTAGGAAGTGTGGCTGTGCACAAAAACCCAATACTCCCAACCTGACCCTTATTTTCAGATCCTCCCCATCTTTGAAAGGCATCCCAAGCTTCTAAGGCCTCTCGGACCAATCTAGCTTATTGGTAACTCATGAAACTGAAAGACAGTTAAAACCATATGATCTAGACCCTTAATAGCTTGGATAGTAACTCTACCAACTAACAAATCCCAGTTCTGGAAAGCAGACTGAGAAGAAATCTCCACTTTCACTGCAAAGCTGTGACAGATCTCCTTGTGACTACCATAGTTCTGGTTTTGTAGTACCACACCGAGGAATCTCCTCAGAGAAGACAGAATAAAAACTACCCTGAACATCAGGGGGTTCTCTATAACATTTGTAAGGTCATTAATTTAGCAAAGGGTCCCAACTTACTCTCAGACAGGAGGAGCAATTACACAGTGAGGAAGGCTACCTTCCTTATGAAGTTTTATAGATTTTAGCTTATTTCATAGACGGGAAATTTTCTAACATAGCTTCCTACCCAAATTCAAAATAGAGGCCAGAATCATATCAACAGTTCTTTGTTCGCTATCCCTGTTCCCTGTCCCTGATTTGTGGTTACTTAAGGATATAGTTATGGTGGCAGTACAGTTAGTTCATCTCTCAACTACACAGATGGTGGGTTTGCCTTTTTCTAAAATTTAGTGCTGCTGCTTTTACCACACCCTTTTTTTTGTGGAGGAATTCACTCCCTTTGTGTTCTCAGCTCATGGTACCCTCAAAGTCATAGATCCTCAACTGCTGATCAAAGTTCCCCAAACTCTACATCCTTTTGTAGCCTAGGTTGATAGCAGTTCACGGGAAAACATGGGGTAGCACTAATTTCTTTCCTGGCAAGTCACCTGCTATTTGCACATGGTCTAATAGCCTGACACCCAGCCAAACCCCTGTATTCAGGGACAGGAGGAGCAGTTGTCTCCAGGAAATGCGAGGAGTCCACCAGAGACCTTCCAGGAGTTATTAGGCCTACTACCAGATGTCACATACCTTTCCTGTCTCACTTTTCCTGTCATTTGTTCATTTTCCTCCTTGTCTCCAATGTGTCTCACCCTGGAGAGTTGTAGCTCTCACAGTCCAGGCAAGAACAACTTTCCATCCTTGGGGAGGCTTAGGATATTGAGCACCACCTGAACAATCCAGTGTCATGATGACATAGGCCGAAGCAAAGTAAATGAGGCAAAAGCAACCTGAATACCAGTGTGTGCCAAGTGCAAATTCTCAATACAGCTTGACGCCAGTGCAGTTAGTGGTAGACCCGCAGATACGGCCTTTGTAAGACTATAGAGCAGTTTATCTGCACACACCTCTGTTTGGATCCTGAAAATGTGAGGGATAATGCTATTGAGATCAGATGCCAGAACCAGAACCCACCAGATCTGATGCCTTCAACGGAAAAGAAACTGCAGTCCCGGAGGACCCATAGAACCTCAGCACAAGACAGCACGTGACTCAGAAGGGTCAAACTGAGGAGCCCAACAAGCAAGGTCAAGTTATCTAGGATGTCAGCAACATGGCTCCCAAGACTGAGAACTTGGAGGACCCCTTGAAACAGACCTCATTTTCAGGTATTGGAAATATCAGGGCTACCTGGGGGATCAACATGCTCTGATCTCAGGCAAATGCATGCACATGTATACATTTTGGAAGGTCACCCTGAAATTCTAAGCCAAAGTCCATTTTAATGACCTCATAGTTACTGTACTTGAGGTGACTAATAAGGATTTAAGATTTTATGCCCTCTGTCAGTTTGATAGGGTCAAAAAAAATCCAAGACAGTAATCTGTAAAGTTGTCTGAGCCTTATGTCACACTTACTGTGTCGTCAAGGAGCCCCCATTAGATGTTGTTTCTAGGATGAGAGTGGTGGTCCACAGGTGATTTCCCCTTAGAATATGGTATGGCTCAGTGGATTGAGCATTGGCCTGCAAACCACAGGGTCCCTGGTTTGATTCCTAGTCAGGGCACATACCTGGGTTGTGGGCCAGGTTCCTGGTGGAGGGCGCCTGAGAGGCAACCACACATTGATGTTTCTCTCCCTTTCTCCCTCCCTTCCCCTCTCTCTAAAAGTAAATAAATAAAACCTTTAAATAATGAAGAAAAACATTTAAATATTTTTTTAAAAAAAGAATATGGTATGAGTGTGGTCTGGAGATTTAAAGCTGCATACATTCACTTATTCAGAATAACAGCTTTCCATTTGAGAGAGACAGAGCCCAAAGTCTAAGAGGATTCTATTCAGCTCACAGCTGCAGTTCTCAGATTTCACTGATGAGGCAGTTTTTGACAATCCCAGCACTCTTAGTGTCTGCCTACCTCCACACCATTAAAACTCCTGCTTAAAGCAATAACTCTGTTAGCAAGATCTGTAGTTAATTTTTGAAATCCTTCTTCCCAATCCCCTACCCTGACCTGCCTCTTAGTAAGCAACCAGAAAACATAACCGGGTTCATTGAACATTAGCCAGCTCAGGCTGCTATACAAAATACCGTACTTTAAGAATAGACATCTATTTCTCCAAATTCTGGAGTCTGGAAAGTCCAAAATCTAAGTGTCTGTCAAGGACCCTATTCCTGGCTGATAGATTGCCCCCTTCATGACCTCATCTAAACCTAATCACTTCTCAAAGGCCCCCATCTCCAAGCTCCATCACACTGAGGATTGTAGTTTCAACGTGCAAACTTGGGGAAGACAGAATTCAGTCCATAGTAATGTTACAATACAAGCTGAAGTGTTGCCCTGTGTGTTGTCTCCAGGTCACACTCTCGACATCTAGACCTTGAAGAAAAACTGGTTGCAGGTTCAAATTCATACGTTTTCTCACAGAGCGTCCTAGTATAGTATCTTGCCTATTTCTGATGACAGAATAATAAAGTAAATATTTGATAAGAAGCTTCCAGAAGAAATCTAAAAAGAAAGGAGTTATTATTAAACTGTTGACTGCTTTTTAGAAATGTTTGTTGTTGTTGTTATCAGTTTTGTATCTTCAGTAAAAATTTGACCTGAATTGAAAAACAGAGAAAGACCTAGTCTCATGACAGCGGAGCAGGGAAATTTATGCTATCTTCTGAGTCTAGCTAAAAAGCCACAAATCTGCCTTTGGCCTACTTCATATTGCTAATTTTGGTACTTTCTCATGACATGTTTACTTTCTTTTGCAGCCTGTTTGCAAGTTTTCAGCAGAGACTACACTTCTAGCAGCTTCTCCAAGGATGTGGGCATATCTCTGAGCACCTCAATGAAGTTACCCCTTGCCTCTTCATCTAAGCCTTATGAAAATGGGACTTTGCCCAACCAGCCACCTCCTCAGCAAATGAGGCACAAATACCATTTGTTAACCAATACTATTTCTGCAGAAATGGCCAGGAAAAGGAGCTAATTTGGAAACTGGCCAAATAATCTCAAGCCCACCTGGACAGGCTGACTGTGCTTGGGGAATGGACATTAGCCCAGTGTGAACTGGCTATCATTCTCCATAGAGAATTAGTGCTTGCAATAAGCCAACTGGTTACAACTGTGGAAGGGGCCATTGGTGCCTTACAGCAATTTAATGAAATCTTATGTCATCTATGAATCCTAGGAGGCCTTGATCAACAGCTGAGATAGGTTATTGCTCACTCTTCTAGGCCTTTTAGGTTAACTGTTCCTTATAGTATAGTAGGGATACCTGGTGCCAGAGGGAAAACAAGAACTCTATCCATCAAGGAGAATTTGATGGGGTCATAATTTGCTCAATTAATATCCACTGCCATTTAAATATGTGTTTTAGGGCTATTTGTTAACTCCACCATAGTCTCTACAAGTTGTGATTCCCAGCTCTGGGTGAACAAAAGGTTTTGTTTTAATATAATTGTGATCAAGCCACTATTTGAATATATAAACAAGGCTGTTTCTATTTCTACCATGTTAATTTTTACAACCTGTTTGATATTTTTGCCATGTGGCAAAAAAACTACACTTATGGATGACAAACTACCCAGTTTTGTATTAAGTATGGGAGAAATAAGATAGGAAGAGGGAACGAATACTCTTTCCCAAACTATGAGAGAGAAGCCTCTGAATAAAGGTTTATGAAAGCCAAGTAGAGACTTGTGATACTAAAAGGAACCTACAAATGCATTCCCTTCTCTGAGAATTTGTCTCATCTTCTCATGTGTAGATAGACATTCACACATCTTAAATGCTTTTAAGGGAATAAAACCCATGGTGTCTCATTTATATTTAGTTATACGTTTCTTCACATATTTTACATAAATCCATCTTGCTGCAATTTGAGTGACTGCTACTATTACCTAAGTATTAACACTAAATAATTCTCAGTTTAAGTGATCTAACTTCTGTAACTTATCTTCTTAACATATTTTTCATTGTCATTTCCAGTCATCACTAATAGGAGGGAGAGAGTGAATAATTTATTTGTGTATTATTTAATAAATGTCCAAACGGGTCCCTAGAGAAGAAAAGGAATACCTAAAAGTTGTTAGTGTTTTAGATAGAAGAATATAACTTTCATGTCTGGACTTCTGGACAGAGCAATGTTCTAGTGAAAGAATTGGGCAATAGCTGGCAGTTCAGAAGGCCAGGGAAGTGTTTTATAAACTGTCATCCACAGAGTCCCGAAGATTCCATGCAGGTGTCTCAGGGTCCCATGCAGGGAGGGGAGGGGGCTTAATGGTAGGGGCTGTGAGCTACTCCCCACTATCTTCAACCCAAGTAGCTTTATTTATTGGACTTCTGAGAGTCCACTGCTGTTTAAAAAAAAATTGTTTTAAACCACTAAAAACAGCATGAGCCAGATCATAGGAGCAAATGTATACTAAGGTCTAAGAAAATTATGAACTTGGAACATGAAGCTATGTTGGTGATATGAAATAAGAATGAATCTAGATAATTGACGTTGAAAATGGTTACCTTATTGAAAAAATTAGCTTGCTTAATTCAGTTAAAATGACAACAGAATGGGGCTTTTGACTCTGTTTCATATGTTTAGTTGCATAAGATCATTATGTTAAAAGCAGAGTTATTGCTACCTCTTCTCATAGAATTAGGATTCTTTCCTGGGATGCAGTCTCAAGAACAAAACCTACAGACCAATCTTTGGTTTAAAAAAAAACCCAATATTTTTAAAGAAAGCTATTTACTAAAAATGGGAGGATCTCTAAGTGCATCAACTAGATGCAATTTGTGAATCATATAAGACAGACAACCTATGTACCCCTGCTTAGCACGATCTTGCCCATTTTTTGCCTACCCAAAGTCCCTGAAGGCCCTGCTCAAATCCCTCTTCCTCCAGAGCGGTGTCCCAGACCCCTCACCTTCTAGTCATCGTTAATATTCCCCCTCCTTGTTCTCCCACAGCACTGTCCTTGTCCTTCTGTCTCAGCACAAAATGCTTTATGTTTATTATGTATGTGTTGCCTCTTCTACATTGCAATCTCCCTAAGAGTACAGCCTTCCTTTTGACAACAAATAGCACATCACAATATTAGATGCCAAATAAACGTTAGTTGAATTTGAGAGAAGAGTGGAAATATACATCTAACTTGGGCATGATCTAACATGATTTTAGCTTTATATTTGGACACTTTCAAATTCAGAATTCTGATGGCACACTAAGTATAAATAATTCAAATATATAAAAAACATTAAATATGTAAGCAGTAATTACAGTATGATTGGGGTAGGGGGGGAAGAGGAGATAATTTATCAAAGACTACAGACTTCAAACTATAACATGAATAACTTCTGGAGATCTAATGTACAGTAATATAGTGATTATAGTTAATAATACTCTGTTATACTTAAAAGTTGCTAAGAGAATAGATCTTAAATGTTCTCACCACAAAAAGGAAATGATATATAAGACATAACACAGGTGTTAGCCAAGACTATGGTGGTAATCATTTTGCAATATGTTAAGTATCAAGTCAACACATTGTTCACCTTAAACTTAACGCAATGTTATATACCAACCACATTTCAATAAATCTTGGAAAAATAATTACAGTATGATTGACTACTATGTCATAACCCTGTCTTAAAAACATCTGTAAAAGAAGCCACAGCCACTGCCATTGCACTATTTACCTGGTCAGTCTTCAGTGTCATGGAACAGTTTAAGTGCCCTGACTACTTTCCTGTTTTCCCAAAAGCAAGTTCCAATAACGTCATTCTTTTTAGTGCCACTATGGTATTCTCCTATGTCCTATCACTTACGCCGTATGTGCCTGCTCTATACTATGTCACAGCCTACTCAGCTTAGCCTTTCATTTAACAGGCATTATAGTAACAATGGATGTCCTCAGTTGTAACCAGAATTTGGCGTCACACTTGATGAAGGATTTGCAACCCACCAGCGTGTCATGGCACACCAGTCAAAAACCATAGTCTTAAAATATTTCCCCAGTCTAGATGTCTCATTTTATAACCTTAATCCAGCTCCTTGTACTCCTAGGTTTTGTTGATGTCTTATTTTTCAGATTCTGTATTCTCTTTATAATTCTATGTTGCTTCCATCTCCCACTGTAAGCAGAATTTTACCCAAGTTTCCCAGCCTCTTGAGAAAGTTCACAAGCCCATGTGCCCAGGTGTACAGGAAGTACCTTGACTATAGTGCAACAAGCCTCATTTATCTACACTAGAGAGCCCCAGTGACCACCGTTTTACTCTGTTCTGCTCTGTGAGTTGTTACCCTTCATCTTTCATTCAGCTAGAATCCAGTTACTCTAGTTTTAACACCTAACTCTTATTCTCGAGGTATCTGTAGTTTGTCAGAGGTACAGTGATCATATGTCCCAGTTTTGCAAGAGCAAGTTAAGTTTCTACCTGTCATCTGGTATAATTATTAATAGAGACCTCTTTCACTCTTAAAGGTCTTGGTCCTGACAATTGTATGTTTGCCTAGCCACAGAACATATAAGGTGTTTCTTGTCTCTACCATAAGTCTATTCAAGTAATCAAACAAGTACATACCTAGATCGGGGAGCTTTTGTCTTCAAGTGCCAATTTCTCCAGTTCGCTTGGCCTGTAATAATTTAAACATGGTTTTGTAGCTATCGTTATTTGCTTGTAGAGCTGACCATCACTGGGGTAACCTGTGGAAACTAATCTCATATATCTGTGTCCAGGTTCCTCTTTTGGCTGAAGTTTTTGGTATAGAGGGAAATATTTTCAGGCTTAAAATCAATGAAGAAACTCCCCTGAAGCCCAGGTATGAAGTTCCCGACGTCCTCACAAACAAGCCAAATACTGTAAGGTAAGCCAAGAATCAAGATATCTTGACTACATCCTCAATCTATTATTGTATCATACCTTGAGCAATAGATTTTGTGTGCACCTAATATTTTGTCTGTTCAAATCTGCAATCATTTGCAGAGTTAGCTTCCATTTTATATGTTATCCATTCTGTTTTCTCTTCACCCACCGTTTGGCTCAGCAACACTTATCAATGGGTAGAGCCAGAGCTTTGGATCCCTGCACTCCTTCTCACAAAGCGAACAGTTGATCGCCAGACTTTTGGGGACAAGTAGAAGAAGAGCTATTTAATTTACTCACTCAGATTAGCAGTAGGGCTCCAGAGATCTAATACACTAGCCAAACTCCCATGCTTATGGTAATCTGTACAGTTAGATTGACTCACTTTTAATTAAGGGTAGTCTCAGAAGCCTAACATGTAGTTTGACTTAGAGGCAGAGATTAATTAATAAGTGTCTGGGTGAAAAACACCTTTGAGGATTAAAGCATTTTCATATACCTACAGAATCTTTATCATATCTCAGCACACTTTCCAGTGGTATTTCAGCTAGGTTCTGCCTGTTGATTTCTGTTATTTTTCCATACCATTGCATTAAAAGAGTATAAGATTATGCCAGATGCTTTAATTTTTCACTACATCATTATTATAGTTTTATGTAGATTTTTCCCATGAAATATAATTTCCATTACCATGGAGATATCATCGCCATGAAGATAAAAGATCAATCGACTATCAGGAGAAATTAATCCAGTTATGGTAGAATCATCATAAATTTAAAATATTTCTATTCATTGAGCCACAATTATATGACAATACTTAGGAAAGAGGAATTAAAAAGAGACTGTTCTCTCTCTGGCTGGTGTGGCTCAGTGGATTGAGCACCAGCCTGCAAATCAAAAGGTTGCTGGTTCAATTGCCAGTCAGAGCATATGCCTCGATTGCAGGCCAGGTCCCCAGTTAGGCATGTGAGGCATGTTAGGGGGCTTGTGAGAGGCAACCATTTGATGTATCTCTTGCATGTTTCTCTCCTTCTCTTTCTCACTCCCTTCCCCTCTCTCTAAAAGTAGCTAAAATCTTTAAAAATAAATTTTTAAAAATGCTAAAAAATATTTTCAAGGCTTTGCAGTTTGGCAAATGAGTATATATGTAATATACACACACATTTCCACTTGGCCACAATATATTATTTTTTACTATCCTGGAGGATTCACTTTACTAGTAGGTCATTTAACACTTTTACATCTGTGTTCATAAATAGAATTAGACTTTAGTTTTCTTTGTGTGTGTGTATATTTTCTTTTTTAAAATTTTTTATTGAGTTTTTTAGAGAGGGAGAGGGAGAGAGAAAAAGGGGGAGGGGAGATCGCTTTGTTGTTCTACTTCTTTATGCATCCATTGGTTGCTTCTTGTATGTGCCCTGACTGGGAATCAACTTTGCAACCTTGGCATATTGGGACAGTGCTCAAACCAACTGAACTCTCTGGCCAGGGACATTTTCTTTTTTTAATTAAATTTATTGGGGTGACATGGGTTAATAAAATGATATGCATTTCAAGTGTATAATTTCTATGATACATCATCTGTATGTCTTATTGTGTGCCCATCACCCAAGTCAAATCTTCCATCACCGTATATTTGACCCCCTATACCCTTACTACCCCTTTTACCTCCCCCGCCCCGTCCAGTAACCTGTAGTCTGTGATTATGAAGTTTGTTTGTCTTGTTTATTTGTTACTTTCATTTTTATATGCCACATGAGTAAAAGCATATGGTTCTTGACTTTTCCTGTCTGACTTACTTCACTTAGCTTGATATTCTCAAGACCTATCCATGTCACAAATGGCAGTATTTCATCTTTTCCTAGGGCTGAGTAGTATTCCCTTGTATATGTATACTACCTCTTCTTTATCTAACCCTCTATCAAACGACACTTCAGTTATTTCTCTGTGTGGCCATTGTGAATAGTGCTTTGGTGAACATAGGGGTGCATATATCTTTGTGAATAAATGTCTTCAAATTTTGGGGGTAGACACAGAAGCAGGATTTATGGGTCGTATGGTAACTCTATTCTTAATTTTTCTGAGGAACCTCCACACTGTTTTCCGTAGTGGTTATACCAGTTTACATTCCCACCAGGAGTGAATACGGGTTCCTTTTTCTCCACAATCTCACCAACACTTGTTATTACTTGTCTTTTTGAGATAATAGTCATTCTAACAGGTGAGAAGTGGTATTCACTGTAGTTTTGATTTGCATATCCCTAGTAGCTAGTGATTTGCATTTCCTTAATAGCTAGCTTCTTTTCATGTATCCGTTGGCTATTTGTATGTTTTGGGAGAAGTATCTGTTCTGGTCTTCTGCCCATTTTTTAATTGGTTTTGCTGTTGAGTTGTATGCGTTCTTTATATATTTTGGATAGTAACCCTTTGTCAGAGCTGTAGTTTTATTTTTTCTTGTGCTATCTTTGCCATGTTTGGGGTCAGGAAGATATTAGCTTTGTGTAGTAAATATGGTATATTAGTTCTACTTCTGTTTCAATCTCTTTGTAAAAGACCTTTGACTATTGCAATAACTGTAGAGCTAAAAAACTACATCTCTCCATTTCCCAGATTCCCATGTAGCTAGTTTCTTTTTCTTCTTTTTTCTTTCTTTCTTTCTTTCTTTCTTTGTTTGTTTGTTTGTTTTATTTTTAGACAGAGGGGAAGGCAGAAAAAGAGGGAGAGAATCATCAATGTGTGGTTGCCTCCCATGTGCCTCTCACCGGGGACCTAGCCCACAACCCAGGCCTGTGCTCTGATTGGGAATCAAACTGGTAACCCTGTGGTTCACAGGCCAGTGCTCAATCCACTGAGCGACACCAGCTAGAGCTCCATGTAGCTAGTTTCTGATGTCAATCACGTTCAAACAATCGGTTGCATTTACAGATATTTTGATGTCACAGCTGATTTTTCTATTTTGCTGGTATGGATTTGGCAGCAATAGAATGCTACACCAGTTAGTGCAGTAGTTTCTGATCCCTGGATTGCAGCTACAGTGGTGTGATCCTGGGGCCCCAGCAATTGCCAACAGTGACTCCTGATTACCCAACTTCCTGATTCTAGCTGAGATGGAAGTTCCATTGGCCATACAGTTATATAATACTGTTCTGTGGAGTGATTACTGGACACCCAGCCAGGAACCTGCTACCTTGACACTTCCTGTGATGTTGTAAGCTCCCAATTCCCCCATATTAAGTCATATACTTACTGCTTAGAATAGCCAGAGTTGATTCTACTATCTACAGTTGAATCTTGATTGATATAAGCATTGGTATCAGTAGTGAGTAGAGGCAAAAGATACTCAAGGATGGGAATATGAAGTTGGTTAGCTGATCTAGTTGGATTTGAAGGCTGCAAGGATCTGATTATCATTAGAGGGTGAGATATTAGTGTTACAGGCTGAATAGTGTGCCCCCTACCAAACTCATGTGTTAAAACCCTAACCCCTTGCATCTCAGAATGTGACTTATTTAGATATAGGGCCTTTGAAGAGGCAATTTATTTAAAATTGGGTCATGAGAATGACTCTAACCTAAATGACTGGTGTCCTTTGAGAAGAGGAGGTTAGGACACAGCTGACACAGACAGAGAGATGACCACGTGAGGACAAAACAAGAGGATGGCCATCTGCGCCAAGGACAGAGGTCTCAGAAGAAACCAAAACTGCTGACACTTTGATCTTAGACTTCTAGCCTCCAGGATTATGAGAAAATATATTTCTGTTGTTTAAGTCACCCAGTCTGTAGTAATTTGTTATGTCAACCCTAGCAAGCTAATACAACTGTTACAGTAATAAACCACATAATTCCACAGCAAAGTTACTTAAATTACTACCTGTAGTAAACTGAAATAAATTGCCTATTGAAAGTACAACCCTGGCAGACCAAGTGGTGGGACCGTAGCATAGCATGATTGTCATACAGAATTCAAAACTCTTAGGTGACCTGGCTATTATGAAGAACTTAAGAAAGAAAACAGCAGTCTCAGGACTTTAACTCCTTAGCTCAAGGCATTGTCAGAAACCTAACAGGTTTCTATGACAATCTAAAGTCTCATATCTGTTGTAGCTACACAGTTCTTGTAGTTGAAAATCAGATACAGTGTTTGATTCTATAATTTGCTGTAAAAGACCATAAAGTTGAATTCGCGGCCTCATGAGGTCTGTGAACTTAGGGCATTAACTGGGAAAAGGTAGATCCCCTCAAATTGAATAGCAACATTTGGATAATTCTGAACACAAACCTCAAAATTCCACTGAGCCTCCTGTTCTGGCAGAAGTAGCTCTCTCTTCTCTGTCTGACAAAGCTGATCCTCCCTTGCTTAGACATCCTGTGTTGACCTCACCTAAGATATATCATGCAAGGGGGATCCAATGCTCTTTGTGTCTTACCCCTACCACCCTTCACTGCCTCCAGACCCACTATCAGAGTCCAATATGCCTAGGGGGCAAATTACAGTCAATCCCAAGAGGAGAAGGCTTATACACCTCACCTAAAGAATTTTAAGATTTTAAATTGGCAAAATATAAAATATTAGAAATGATTTCTCAGGGATTCTTAGACCAGAGGAAGGAACATAATTTTAGCATTACACTAAATTTATTGACATGGCCACATCTAGATATGATATGCTAGCTGGGAGTGGTTCTAATTATTTGCTTGTTTCATTACCCATATTCTGTATTCAGCTATGGTGAACTCTGCTGAATGAAACTGAGATACCAGAAATTCCTTAACACACCATAGAAGAAATGATCCATAGACTTAGTGATAGAAAGATGTTGAAGTGGCTATATTATATGCAAACAGCTCATGTAACCTCTAATTCTGTTTTCCAAGAGGATCCAGAAGATACTCCTTTCATTGAAAAATACATCAGTGAGGGAACACTTGGAAAGCATTGTAGTGTATGAGCATATTTTTCAAGCTAGAGATAATGGTGGGAAATAATGCCAGGTGGGCTTCCTGATTTCAGTGGAGATGACAAGATGCCAGGTGGCACAGTCAAAGTAGCAGCATTTAGTTGTTAGAGACAAGGTGGACATGTTTTCATAACGTGCAGCAGGGCCTGAATGGTTAAAATCTCAGGACAGTGAACAATAATATTAAGGGGTCTATTAAACTGAAATAGATGGAATGATATCCTACTTGATGGAATAATTGAAAGCATTCTATTTTTGTTTGATGGACAGTGTCTCTTAAACCATTCCAAATAGAGTTAGTATCCAGAACCCAAGCATCTTGCTTGAGGGGGAGACCTAGAATTCACGGAGAAGGAAATCGTAAAGATAAGTACAAACTATCCCTCCTAACCTTCCCTAAAGAGGCTGTGATCATTTACCAGGGTGACTATGCACCAGAAAAAGAAATATCTGCCCTGGCTGGTGTGGCTCAGTGGATTGAGAGCTGGCCTGCAAACTGAAATGTCATGGGTTTGATTCCCAGTCACAGCATGGGCCTGGGTTGCAGGCAAGGTCCCCAGCTGGGGGCATCCATGAGGCAACTGATTGATGTATCTCTTCCTCTCTTTCTCCTTCCCTTCCCCTCTCTCTAAAATAAATAAATAAAATCTGTTTAAAAAAGAAAGAAAGAAACATCTAAATCTTCTAGGGACTTTAAATGCTGCCTCTGGGCTTTATACAGATTCTGGAGATCCAAAACATGTTAACAGTCTACCCATCAAATTAGGGGCTGTGGGGAGTCAGATGATAAATAGATAAACAAAAGTTTGACCTGGTTCCATCTCACTGTGGACTCAGGCGATTAACAACCCAATCTGTGTTATTTCCTAACTTTTCTGAGTACATGGTTGGAATGAGAAAGAAAAGCAAAGTATTTAGATTCTATGCACCAGTGTTACTTCACTCTCTGGACCAAGGTAATAATAGTTAACATTATTTAGGGCTTATTATGTACCAGGCACTGTGTCAAGTGCTTTCCCTGCATGATCTCATTTAACGCTCTCAAAAAGTTCTATTTATTCTTGCTTTTCTTGTTTCCACTTTATAGATGAGGAAATTGAGAGGGAGGAAGATTGATTAACTTGTCCAAAGTTTTACACCTAGTGCATGGTGGCGCTATGTTCAATCCAGCCTCTCTGACCCTGAAGCCCATGCTCTCCGTTACGGCTCTCCATTGCCTTATCTATGCTATGTCACATGAATATTGATTTTCTAATTAACGAATTTGAATTGAAAGTTGAATTTAGCCATGTAAACTTATAGCAATTTGTTTTTCTCTTCCTGCTTTTTTTTCTAGGCTGATTGCATGCCCAGGGGATGCAGGTAGTCTGGTACTGGCAAATGGAAAAGGAGATCTGAAGTGTCATATCACGGCAAACCCATTCAAGGTAGACTTGGTGTCTAAAGAAGAGGTTGTGATAAGCATAAACTCCCTGGGCCAATTGTACTTTGAACATCTGCAGATTCCTCTCAAGCAAAGGTATTTTTACACATTACTTGACACATAAAGAATTTAAGAAAACTTGATTGTGAATCCAATTTGCCTAAATCTATAATGTATCAACATAAACATGGTGTTGTCTTATTTGCTAGAATACTGTTCTGAGAAATATCATCTATTACCCGTGCAGGTGAATATAGGCTTAATGACAAGAATTATTCCCAGACTTTTTCAAATGTGGCACTCTTAACATATCCTGTGTGTTTGCTGATGGCATTCTCAACCCTTTGCACCATTCTTTTTTTTTAAAAAATATGTTTTTATTGATTATGCTATAACAGTTGTCCCAATTTTTACCCCTTTGCCCCCCTCCACCCAGTAACCCCCTTCCCTCCAGCTGCCCCCCCTCATCTTAGTTCATATCCATGGGTCATGGATATAAGTTCTCTGGCTTCTCCATTTACTATACTATTCTTAACCTCCCCCTGTCTATTTTGTACCTACCAATTATGCTTCTTATTCTCTGCACCTTTCCCCCCGTTCCCCCGCTTCCCCCTCCCAGCTGATAGTGCTCCAAAAGATCTCCATATCTATGATTCTGTTCCTGTTCTAGTTGTTTGCTTTGTTTGTTTTTTTTAGATTCAGTTGTTCATAGTTGTGAATTTGTTGCCATTTTAATGTTCATAGTTTTGATCTTCATCTTTTTTATAAATAAGTCCCTTTAACATTTCATGTAATAATAGCTTGGTGATGATGAATTCCTTTAGCTTTACCTTGTCTGCGAAGCACTTTATCTGCCTTTCCATTCTAATAGATAGCTTTACTGGATAGAGTAATCTAAGTTGTAGGTCCTTTCTTTCCATCACTTTGAATACTTCTTGCCAGTCTGATCTAGCCTGCAAAGTTTCTTTTGAGAAATCAGCTGATAGTCTTATGGGAACTCCTTTGTAGGTAACTATCTGCTTTTCTCTTGCTGCTTTTAAGATTCTCTGTTTATCTTTAACTTTTGGCAGTTTAATTATGATGTGTCTTGGTCTGTTCCTCTTTGGGTCCAGCTTGTTTGGGATTCTCTATGATTCCTGGACTTGTATGTCCATTTCCTTTATCAAATTAGGGGATTTTTTTTCATTATTTTTTAAAATAAGTTTTCAATTTCTTGCTCTTCCTCTTCTCCTTCTGGCATCCCTATGATTTGGATGTTGGTATGTTTGGAGATGTCCCAGGGACACCTTATACTACCCTAGTTTTTTGGAATTCTTTTTTCTTCTTGCTGTTCTGATTGAATGCTTATTTCTTCCTATGTTCCAAATTGTTGACCTGAATCCCAGCTTCATCCCCTCCACTGGTGGTTTCCTGTAGATTTTTCTTTATTTCACTTAGTGTAACCTAATTGAGTCAATAATTAATAACCCTCCAAAAAAGAAAGTACCAGGCCCAGATGGGTTCACTGATGAATTTCACCAAATACAGAAAATATTATACCACTTTGCCACAATCTCTTCTAGAAAATAGTTGAAAAGAGAATTCTTCCTCATTCATTGTATGAGGTCAACATTATATAATATCAAAAAAAGCATTACAAAAAATTCATTAACATAAATGCAAAAATATTCAACAAAATATTAGCAAATCGAATCCAACAATTTATAAAAAGAATCATATACCACGACAAACTGGAATTTATCCCAGGCATACAAACCTTGTTTAACATTCAGAAATCAACTAATGTAGTTGATCACATCAAGAAGCTAAAGAAGAAAAATCAAACAATCATATCAATAGATGCAGAAAGAGCATTTAACAAAATACAACACCCATGCATGATATAAACTCTCAGCAAACTAGGAATAGAAGGTAACTTCCTCAACTTGATAAAGAACATCTACCCAAATTCTACAGCAACCATATACTTAATGGTGAGAAACTCAAAGCTTTTTCACTAAGTTTAGGAACAAAGCAAAGCTGTCCCCTCTCACTGCCACTTTTCAATATCATGCTGGAAGTCCTAAGTAATGCATTAAGACAAGAAAAAGAAATTAAAGTTATACACAATAAGAAAAAAGAGATAAACCCTCGTGTCCACAGATGGCATAACTGTCTATGTGGAAAATCCAAAACTAGCATGCACATGCACACAATAAAACTTGTTATAATAAGAAATTATAACAAGGCTGCAGGGTAAAAAGTTAATGTACAAAAGTCAGTTTCTTTCCTATATACCAGCAATGATCAAGTGGAATTTGAAATTAAAATTCCACATTTACACTTACAAAATGGAATATTTAGGTATAAATCTAACACAATATGTACAAAATCAAGATGAGAAAAACTACAAATACAAAGCAATCCATGAAAGCAATCAAAGAACTAAATAAATGGGGAGATATTCCATGTCCGTGGATAGGGAGACTCAATGTTATCAAAATGTCAGTTCTTCCCAACTTGGTCTAGAGATTCAATGCAATACCAATCAAAATCACAGACAATTATTTTGTGGGTATTAACAAACTGATTCTGTGGTTTATATGGAGAAACAGAAGACCCAGAATACCAAATCATTGTCGAAGGAGAACAAAGTTGGAGGAATAACACTATGCTACTTCAAGACTTAATATAAAACTACTGTAATCAAGACTGTGTGGTATTAGCAAATGAAGAGACAAAAAGATCAATGGAACAAAATAGAGAGCCCCAAAATAGACCCACATAAATATAGTGAACTGATCGTTGAATAAGAAGCAAAGGCAATACAATGAAGCAAAGGTAAGGTTTCCAGCAAAAAGTCTGGAATGACTGGGCATCCACATGCAAAAACAAAAAATTAAACACAGACCTTACATTTTTCACAAAAATTAACTCAAAAGGGATAATAGACCTAAACATAAAATGCAAAACTATAAAACCCCTAGAAGATAACATAGGAGAAAACTTAGATGACCATGGGTGTGGCAATATTTTTATATATAACACCAAAGGCACAATCTCTGAAAGAAATAAGTAATAAGTTGGGCTTTATCAAAATTAAAAACTATTGCTAAGTAGAAAACAATGTCAAGAAAATGAGAGGACAAGCCACAGACTGGGAGGAAATTTGCAAAAGACACATCTTATCAAGGACTGCTGCCCAAAATATACAGAGAACTTTTAAAATTCAATGATAAGAAACTGGATACTTAATTTAAAAATGGGTAAAAGACCCAAACAGATACCTCATCAAAAGTATACAGATGGCAAGTAAGCATATGAAAAGATGTTCAACATCTTATATCATTGGGGAATTGCAAATTAAAACAAATACCACTACATGTCTACTACAATGGCCAAAATTCAAAACACTTGACACGAAAATGCTGGTGAGGATGTGAAACAGTAGGAACTCATATTTGTTGCTTGTGGGAATGCAAAATGATACTCACTTTGGAAGACAGTTTGACAGTTTCTTTCAAAACTAAACATACTTTACCATACAACCCAGCAATGTTCTCCTTGGTATTTACCCAAAGGAACTGAAAACATATGTCCACACAAAAACCTGCATATGATGTTTATGGCAGCCTTAGTCATAGCTGCCAAAACTTGGAAGCAAGCAAGACGTCATTCAGTAGGCCAATAGATAAATAAGCTGTGTTAAATCTAGACAAAGGGATATTATTTAGCACCTAAAAGAAATGAACTACTAAACCATGAAAAGACAAAAGGAAGCTTAAGTAAAGGAAGCCAATCTGAAAAAGGCTTACAAGTATGCAGCCTTTTTGGTTACAACAATAAAAATTCTGAAAAAGGCAAATCTATGGAGATAGTAAAAAGATTAGTGGTTGCCAGGGGTTAAGGAAGAAGGAGGGATTAGCAAAAGCTAATATGCACAATACAGGAAGAACATATGAATCAACAGGAAAAACAACAGGCAAATAAAAATGGTGATACAAACCGCAGTACTGCATATTAATATCATGAGCATCAAAATTTTGATACTGAGTTTAAAAAGTTTTGTGATGTCACAAAAGAATATATATACAGTGCATCTCTATTTATATAAACATTTTTTAAAGGCAAGTAACTAATGTTTGGGGATTCATACACTCCTGGCAATACTACAAAAAAACAGCAAGAAAATGATGTCACACAAAATCTAGTAAAGTGGTCACTTTCGAAGGGTGAGGGATGGAGGGAGATACATTTGAAGAGAGGCACACAGTAACCCCAAAGGAACAAGTCATTTCTGTTGCTTATGCTTACAGGTTCATAGTTGTTCCTTCAGTATTATTCTTTAAAGTTTGCATATACATTATATACTCTTCTATATGCGTGCTGTATTTTATTCTAAAGAAAAAATTAATGTATAATGAATAGATAATTCACAAAAGAAGAAATAGAAATACCATGTAATATATAAAAAGGTGTCTACCTTACTAATGATAGAAATTCAAATTGAAATACATTATCTTTTCTTAAAGTTTATATTGGCAAAGGTTTAAGAAATCCATTAAGTTCAGTACTGTGAAGAATAAGGGAGAAATGAGCACTCAAATACAACTACAGGTGATAGAGTAAGTTGTCACTGTTGTCTTGGAAGGCAGTGCATTATGTTGCTCGGTACTACAGTAGCTAACACTGGGTGAGGGGAACTGTGTTCTACTTTGCTTATGTTTGCTTAAATACTATGAGCATGTATTACACTTATAATAAAAAACAGATGAAGGTATTTTTTAAAAGTTAGTGAGAAAATTCAAATATATCTATGTTTGTATAAGAAATCAAGCTATTGGATTAATGTTCATCATAAATGTTCAATTTCATAAACTTACTTTTATACTAAGATTATTTTTCATAAATTAAATGATTAATTTATAGGGTCTCAAAAGTTGGATATGAAAATCTTTATTATCAAACAAAATTGTGTCAGTTTTGCCATGTGTGAAATAATTTTATTTATATTAAAACAGAGTTACCAGAGAAAAGGAGGATACATCAATTGACACCTCTCAGGTAATCTAGATTGAGCAATTTGTAATTTTTTAAATCATTTTCACCTTCGTCATCATTGTATGGCATATCATGTGTCCTCTTCTTCCCTTCTTCTACATATGGGTACTTGATAAATTCTCTACAATGTATAAATGGGACCACCTGTCTCTTCTGCTCATCTTACCTTCTTGTTGATTCTTTCATTCATTTGTTCATTCATGTATTTAATTGTTTTTTTTAATAAAATAGGTAATTCTTTAGTGCCTGCCTTGTGCCAGCCACAAGACACAAAGAATACTAGGCAAGGGGAGTCAGCAGTAAATAAAACAAATCCTGTGTCTTCATGAAACTTAGAATCTATTGGGAAGGACAGACACTAAACAACTGCAGCATGAAGAGTGTTACAAAAGGGTGTTATAGGAGACTACAGCAAGGAACTTGACCGATACGAGGATCAGGAAAGACCTCCTGAAGGAAATAATGTTAAAGCTGAAATTGATGCATGAGGATACAGTACCTAGTCAAAAAGTTGGGAAAAACACATTCCAACTAAAGGGAATTGCATGTTCAAAGATCTTTAGGTACAAAGAAGCACATTTGAAGGAATTAAATACATACATACATACACACATATAACTTTTAGCAGGAGAAAGGACAGCAAGGGAAGGGTGCTCTGTAACAAGGCTAGAGAGATAGGCAGAGGCAATTCTAAGAAGAGTTTTTTAATAATTGTTTGATTCAATAAACATTTGTTGAGTGCCAATTCTATGCCAGGCACTATGTAAATAATTGATGATATATCATTAAACAAATCAAATTCCCATATTATCATGCAGTTACTTACATTCTTCAAAATCATGTTAACCTTTTTGGACTTTAACCTAAGAGCAAAGGAAAACTATGCAAAGGTTTAAAGAAGCAGAGATATATGTTCTGATTTCTATTTTTAAAAGATTATTTTGGCCAGATTATGGAGAAAGGACATTTTAAAAAGCTTTTCATTCAAAGCCACATGCACCTTTAAAGAAGCCCTGAATGGTGAGATTTTTTTTTCCAAAAAGGAAGGTCTAATTCTCCTTCCTTTTGATAATTTATCCGTGCTGCTGCGTATGACAGAGAAAGCTTTCGCATTTCAAACAGAGAAGATAAAAACAACTAAGACACAGTCTTACACAGCTTTGTGACAATATGTCAGATCAGCTTTTGGAAGATCTCCAACTAAATAGATAGTGGCTTTGAGTCACAGAACCCCTTGCAAGAATCTGATGAAAGCTCTGAATCATCTCCACAGGAAAAAATAATGTTTTTCCTATTCTTTGAGAGAGTTCACAAACTCTAAAGCTCATCCATAGACTCCAGAATAATAATCCCTACATTATGAATTTGGGTGTGGCTAAAGAACATGTTACCAAACAATGAATGGGTCAACAATGATATCAAAGGAGAAGTCAAAAGATACCTTGAGACAAATGAATATGAACACACAACAAACCGAAACATGCAGGACACAGTGAAAGCAGTGCTTACAGAGAAATTCATAGCAATACAGGCCTACCTAAGGAACAAGAAAAATAAACAATCTAACTTTACATCTAAAGGAATTAGAGAAAGAACCACAAAGCCCAAAGTGAGAAGAAAGAAGGAAATAATAAAGATTACAGCAAAAATAAATGACAATGACACTAAAAAACAATACAAACAATCAGTGAAATGAAGAGCTGGTTCTTTGGAAATGTAAACAAGATTGACAAACCTTTAAACCAGACTCATAAAGAAAAAGAGAGAGAGGACCCAAATAAATAAAATCAGAAATAAAAGAGGAGAAATAAGAACTGACACCACAGAAATACAAAGGATTGTTAAGAACTAGTAAAGTAGCAGGATACAAAATTAATATTCAGAAGTGAGTGCATTTTTATATACAGTGAGGGACAAAGGTAGGTTTACAGTTCATATGAAAAATAATACAATAAAAAATAATAATAATACAAGGAAAAGCTCTGTGTTTCATATATTCATAACTGTAAACCTTCTTTTGTACCACCCTGCACCAATAATGAACTAGCAGAAAGGGAACCTAAGAAAACAATCCCATTTACATTGCACAAAAAATATTAAGTAAAATACCCAGGACTAAATTAACCAAGACAATTCGGAGAGATTATAATTCAGAAAATTATAAGACACTGAAGAAAAAAATCAAAGAAGATACAAATAAATGGAGGCATATTCTGTGTTCATGGATAGGAAGAATTAACATCATTAAAATGTCCATAGTGCTGTTTCATCAAGGACCGAGATGGGCAGTGTTTGCACCAAGACCAGAAAGAATCATCGAGCCAAAAGTTGATTTGACATATTGTCACAAAGCCCAGATAATCATCAAAAACTACTACATGCACCCGGGCAATGACTTTCATGCCAGCAAGTGAGTGTGTGTGCAAGGAAATCACCATTATTCCCATCAAGAAGCTCTAAAACAAGATAGCAGGGTATGTTACACATCTGATGAAGCGGATTTAGAGAGGCCCCATGAGAGTTATCTCCATCAAGCTACAGGGATAGGAGAGAGAATTATGTTTCTGAGGTCTCAGCCCTGGATCAGGAGATCACTGAAGTTGATCCTAATGCCAAGCAAATGCTTAAGCTCTTGGACTTTAGCAGTCTGCTCAACCTGCAGGTCACTCAGCCTACAGTTGGGATGAATTTCAAAACACCACGTGGAGCCATTTGAATCTTTCTGCTGTGCTGTAATATTATCAATAAACCACTGATAACTTAAAAAAAAGTCCATACTACCTAAAGCAATCTATAGATTCAACACAATCCCCATCAGAATACCAATGGCATATTTTGCAGAACTAGATCAAATAATAAGAAAATTAATATGGAGCCACACACACACAAAAAAACCCTGAATAGCCTCAGCAATATTGAGAAAGAAGAACAAAGTTGAGGGTATCCTACTATCTGAAATCAAACAATGCTACAAGGCCATACTAACCAAAACAGCATGATACTGGCATAAAAACTCACACATAAATCAATGGAACAGAATAGAGAGCCCTGAAATAAAACCACACTATCTTATCAATTAATATTTGACAAAGGAGGCAAGAATATACGGTGGAGTAAAGACAAGCTAGTCAATAAATGGTGCTGGAGAAATAGGACAGATACTTGAAAAAAATAAAATAAAACCATATAGAGGAATAAACTCAAAATAGATTAAAAACATAAATGAAGACTCGAAACCATAAAAATTATAGAAGAAAACATAGGCAGTAAAATGCCTGCCATTTCTCTTAGCAATATTTTTTCTGATGTATCTCCTCAGGCAAGGGAAACAAAAAATAAACAAATGGGGCTTCGCCCAACTAAGAAGTTTTTGCACAACAGAGAAAACCATTAAAAAACGAAGAGAGAGCCTATTAAATGGGAAAACATATTTACCAATGATACATCTAATAAGGGGTTAATGTCCAAAATTTATAAAGACCTCATACTACTCAACACCCCAAAAAACAATCCAATTAAAAAATGGGCAGAGGATCGGAATAAACAGTTCTCCAAAGAGGACATACAAATGGCCAATAGACATGAAAGGTTGCTCTACATCACTAATTGTCAGAGAAATGCAAATTAAAACCACAATGGGGTATCACCTCACACCTGTCAGAATGGCTAATCATCAATAAATTCACAAAAAACTAGTGCTGACGAGGTTGTGGAGAAAAGGGAATCCTTGTGCACTGTTGATGGGAATGCAGATTGGTGTAGCCACTATGGTAAACAGTACGGAGTTTCCTCAAAAAGTTAGAAAGTGTATCTGCCTTTTGACCCAGCAATGCTACTTCTGGAGATTTATACAAAGAAATCCAAAACACTAATTCAAAAGAATATATACACCTCTATGTTTATTGCAGCGTTAATTACAATAGTTAAGCTATGGAAGCAATCCAAGTGCCTATCAAAAGGCAAGTGAATAAAAAACGATGGCACATAGGTATACACAATGGAATATTACTCAGCCATGAAAAAGAATGAAATCATACCCTTTGTGACAGCATGGATGAACCTAGAGGGTATTATGTTCAATGAAATAAGTCAGAGAAAGACAAATATCATATGATTTCACTGATAGGTGATATCTAAAGAACGATATATATAAGAAAAATTGAAACAGACTCATAGACACAAGAGCAAGAACTGGTGGTTGCCACAGGGGTGGGGGTTTAGGGGACTGGGCTTTCGAAAGATGGGAGGAGGGTTAAGTGGATGGGTGAAAAAGGTGAAACAATTAAGGAGTACAAATTTGGTAGCTAAAGAATAGTCCCAGGGATGTAAAATATAGCAAAGGGAATATAGTCAATAATATATTAATGACTTATGGTGTCAGATGGTTATTAGATTTATTGGGGTGATCACTTAATAAATTATGTAATGTCTGATCACTGGGTTTTATACCTGAAACTAATATAATATTGTATGCAACTGTAATTGAAAAAATAAAACATTATTTAAAACTAAATAAATGAAAAACATTATGCTGAGTAGAAAGAGCATTATACAAGAAAAAAATTCAGGCATGATTTTTTTAAAAAACAAGCAAAGGGCTCACTTTTTACAAAGAAATATGCATTTCACACACACAATTTTTTAAAAAACTTTTTCACTCTACTAGAAAATAGGAGGCTTTTGTAAAGTTGAAAAAGTTTATAACTCTAGATGAAGAGATTATGAACCTCTGTGGGTTGCCATCCCAGCCAACTTCTCAAGCCAGCAACAGGAACATAATTAGCAGTTCGGCTAACTGAAGCAGGGGAAAGTGCCCATCTCAGCCAAAATGTTTGCATAGGGTTTCTTAGAACAGACCTAAGTTATAGATTCTAAACGTTTTCCTTCACATATTTACAAGAAAAATATCTTACATATGTAAAGACTGCATTTTTCAAAGTGCTTTCACACTATTTTGGTTTCCGTAAAAATACCATGTCAAATGGTGTGGCAATTCCTCAAAAAAAAATTAAACATAAATTACAATATGATTCAGCAATTCCATGTATGGGTATATATCCAGAAGTGAAAGTCAGCACTCAAGCAGATATTTGTATGCCTATGTTCTTCATAGCAGCATTATTTACAGTAGCCTAAATGTGGAAGCAACCCGGCAATCCGAGTGTCATTGACAGATGAATGCATCCACAAAATGTGGTACATACATACAGTGGAATATTATTCAACCTTAAAAGGAAGGAGATTATGACACATGCTAAAACTAATGTATATCGAAAGCATTATACTAAATGAAATAAGCCAGATGCAAAAGGACAAATACTGTATGGTTCCTCTTATACAAGATATCTAGAGTAGTCAGACTCACAGAGACAGGAAATAAAATAGGGGTTACCAGGAGCTTGGGGGAGGGAGGAATAGGGAGTTAATGTTTTATGGGTACAGAGGTTTAGTTAGAGAAGATGTAAAAGTACAAGAGATGGGTGACGGTGACGGTTACACAGCAATGTGAATGTATTTAATGCTACTTAAAATGGTTAAAATGATGAATTTTATGTTATGTCTACTTTACCACAATAAAAAAAATATATTCATGTCAGCTAAAGTTCATAAGGATGATTATTGACATTTATATAGGCTACAGATCTAATTTGTTAAATATACTAACATCACAACTGGTCTTAAAAGTTGAACTCATTTTTTCAGTCTAATTTTTTAATAATCCAAATAAAAAGTGCTATTGTGGTAATCAAATTTGTTGCAATATATAAACTTAATTTGCTCCCTTTTTTGTGCCAACAGGAAAATCAAGAGGATCTGGGCCTGTGGGAGGAGAAGTTCGGAAAATTTGTTGATGTCAAAGTTAATGGTAGAGTTGAAACTGGCGTAGTGCTAAAACAGATCTTTCCAAAATACTAAATATCTCTATCCAAAGCCCCTGGAGCATTGACATCTAAACAAGTGACTTCCGTAAGAGGAACAGAAATCTCAGACTTAAGTCCTCTATTCCCTACTAATGCATTGCAACGAAGAAATAATAATTATATGCCTTTTATGGGGTATGTAAAAGAAGTATTGGCCTCACAGAGGGACCTAGATCAACACACTGTTTGCATTATCCAGTATATCAGATAGCTGCAAATTCCACATTCTATTTTTATGAGAAGCAAGTGATGAGAAAACAAGTTCTAGAGCTCATCAGCCCCAGCATTCCAAGCCACTGGCTCTAAACTTTTTCCAGGCCTTCCCATCATTCACATGAGCATCACATGCCCACCTGTGACATTTCTCTTTAGGCTTAGTGATGGATGTATGTGTGTGTAGCTTGTATTTTTAGGAGATACCTTTCAGATACTTGCAGCTTATGTAGTTGGAAAAAATATGTTCTTCCTTCATCTTCCCCACTCTGTAGAATGACAGACCCTCCATAATTCCTTGAGAATCCCTGTTCTAGCATCTATATCTGTAGCTTAGTGTAGGATCAGGACTGACAACATGCCCAACATGTATAAGTAAGGGGGCCCTTAGATTTCTTTTTGTAACATAATCTTTTTTATCTTTTCTAGAGCACCCTCATCCCATAAACTCCTTCAAATCAGCATCATTTGAGATCAAATACTTTAACCTAAGAATGAATTTAAGGCTATGTTACCTCTCCAGTTAGTTGCCTTTTTTCCATATCTCTAAAATAATTGTTAAATAAAGGACTTCCTCTGGTTAAAGGACATTTATATGTTTACAATCACAGGGTATTATGAAGAGCCAGAATATATTATAGTCCCCGGATACACAGTAAAAATAAACAATCAGGCAGAAGACACCCAGTCCTTCATCTAGCAAAGATTAAAATTGCTCAGTATGCTTTGCTTCCTAAAGCAAGGAGTATGTAATGTATTTTAGAAAAGTTTAGATTTTAAAAACTTTGTAGCCTTATTTTACCAATAAAAAAGATTTACAGTTAATGAGGACACAAAGAGCTTCCACGCATAGCTAGGTGTACATAATAGTAAGTGACCAGAACTTATTACATAAGTGACCAGTGCCTTTTGAATTTTTGTATCCCCACACGTGAATATAGCATCTTACAGAGAGCCAACACACATGATTTACTGGTTGATGAGGGAAAGCTCAGGTCTCTCGATTTCTAGTCATCTTGTGACACTCACAGTTAACTGAATCTCTTTAATTGATTGTCCCACTGAGAAGCAAAACTCAGTCAATATCCTGGTCCCCGCAGGTCCTGCCTCCATCGGTTTGGATTTCTCCTTGCATGGATTTGAGCATCTCTATGGGATCCCACAACATGCAGAATCCCATCAACTTAAAAATACTGGGTAAAGTGAAAACAAGAATTTTTATGGGAAAGGCAAATGTGTGGATGTCTGAACCAGTCAATGCTAATATGTGCCTGGCCTTTTGTCCTCCTTGATATTACTTAAAGATCTTTGAGAATCTTCCTTGAATGATCACTCAAAGCAGTGGTTTTCAATTTTTATTTTATTTTATTTATTTTGCATAGATTAGGCAAGTGTAAAAAACTGTAATGCTGAACCTAAAAATATAAAGGAAGTAAAAATACAGAATTGCTGTGGTTGAAGTGGTGGGGAGATTTTCGTTACACCACTTCCCGGGTTTTGCTTTCACCTCTCAAGGCCTTTCTGTGAAACCCTGGCAGAATGCACTGTGAAAAACACTGACCTAAAAAAAGGCTTTTACCAAAAAATGACAGCCAGAGAATGGAAAAGTGTGGCATTTCATATCACCTTTGAGACCCCCAGGGAGATCACTCAAACTAACTCTATTGACAAATAAATGCTACACACATAGGACTGACTGGAAGCAAAACCAAAGAGAAACAGAGTCTGATCAAATTTTCCAGGTTCAGGTGCTCTTCATATGACAGGGAAGCAAATGACAAGTGCCTTAGAAAGCATGCTCTCACACCAACCTGAGCTCTGTGCTCTCCTCCCCAATTCAGGTCCCGATTTTTCCCTATTCAGCACTGTGTCAGCATGTTAAGACTCTCATTTCATTTAAGCGACAGAGAAATACTCACAAAGTTTGTCAAAGACACATATTGTGTGCTTGCCATTGTAGAGGATTCACAGGAAACAGTCCTAACCTCACAAGCGATATTCAGAAAAGAGGAGCTTATAGCTGCCAATTGTCAGGGGAGAGGATGCCAAAAGAATCAAAGGAGGAGGGTCATATTCACCCAGTTTGGATCAGAAACCTTTAGGAAAGTGGTAAAGTTGAGCCTTGAAAGATGCATAGGATCCAAGTGCAGGGGCGAATAGAGCTATACTATTCATTAATAATGTATTTGTGATGGTAATTGATAATCCTCCTTGTGTGTTTCAGTGATGGGGATGCTTACCGTCTTTATAACCTGGATGTCTATGGATATAAAATACATAACAAAATGGGCATTTATGGTTCAGTGCCATATCTCTTGGCCCACAGGCTGGGCAGGACTTTTGGCATTTTTTGGCTGAACTCCTCAGAGACACTGGTGGAGATCAACACGGAGCCTGCAGTAAAGGTAAGCTAAGGACCATGGCTGTATGTCATACTTAGAATAGACACAGAACTAGAAAGGTATAGTCATAGCTCTGTGCTTTGTAGTGGCCACCACTACAAAGACTGGTTCTCTGCCACCAGTCTTTGCAGTATAATCAGTGTAAGTTAATAGCATGTACAAAAGGAACAGACTGTTACTCCCATATGGATGGATATTGTAGAGGGAATAAATTTTTTAAACATTTATTCCATTTATTTTCCAGGACACAGTGACCCAGACAGGCTCAGTGGCTGCTAAACAAAAAGACAGATCTCGAACTGATGTACATTGGATGTCAGAGAGTGGAATCATTGATGTTTTTCTGCTGACAGGGCCTACACCTTCTGACGTCTTCAAGCAGTACTCATCCCTTACAGGTACTTGCATGGGGAAGTACCCATTTCTTGTTCCATTATATTTTCTCTATCCCATGTACCATCACTGTAAATTAATATTTATTGCACACCCTATAGAATTCATAAACAACTTGCCCAAACTTTTTAAGAAGCAAGCATTTCTCCTCTCACCCTCATTCCATTCAACTTCTCTAGGCTTCCTGTACCTTTATCTCAGAAGACCAGCATCCCAACCTTTTCTATGTTCTCTTCTCTGTTAAAATATACCACTGGCTTTAACTCTAAAGCATTTTATCTTTAAAATATATAACAATTTCTGCACCTCAATTGGTGCAGAAAAAGCATATGACAAAATACAATATTATTTCATGGTAAAAATACTCAGAAGACTAAAAATAGAAGGAAACTTTCTCCACAAGACAAAAAGCGTTTATGAAACCTCCACAGCTAACATCATATTCAATGGTAAAAGGCTGCAGGCATGCCCTAATTTCAGAAGTGAAACAAGACTGCCCATTTTCACCACTGCTATTTAACACTACTAGAAGTTCCAGCCAGAGCAATTATGCTAGAAAAGAAATAAAAAGCATTCAAATTGGAAAGGAAGAAGTAAAATTCTCTCTATTTGCAGATACTATGATCCTGTATGTTAGAAAATCTCAAAGTATCCACAGAAAAACTAATAGAGCCAATAAACAAATTTACCATAGTCACAGGGTACAAGATCAACACACCAAATCAGTTGTGTTTTTATGCACCAGCAATGAACAATCTAAAAAAGAAACTGAGAAAATAATTTCATTTACAATACCATCCAAAAGAATAAAATACTTAAGAATAAATTTAACCAAGGAGATGGAGGGCTTATACACTGAAAAATACAAAATATTCCTGAAAGAAATTAAAGAAAGCCTAAATAAATGGAAATGCACCCCATGTTCATGGATTGGAAGACTTAATAGTATTAAGATGGCAATACTACTGAAAGCAATCTATAGATTCATTGCAATCTTTACCAAAATTTCAACAGCCATTTTTAAAGTAATGGAAAAGTTAATCTTTAAAATCATATGGAATTGCAAAGGACCCTGAAGAACCAAACAATCTGTAAAAAAAGAGAAATAAAGAGGACTCATTCTTCCCAATTTCAAAAATTACTACAAAATTAAAATAATCCAAATAGTATGTTACTGGCATACAGAGAGACATATAGACCAGTGGAATAGGATTAAAGGTTAGAAATAAACCCATACATCTATGGTCAATTGATTTTCAACAAAGGTCCATGACCATTCAATGGGAAAACAATAGTCCCCTAAATACATACTATAGAACAACTGGATAACCACACGCAAAAGAATGAGGTTGGAACTATATATCACACCATACACAAAAGAGTAACTCAAAATGGATCTACATAAATACAAGAGCTAATGCCATAAAACTCTTATAAGAAAACGTGTATGACCGTGGATTTGGCAACAGATTCTTAGATATGACAACAAAATCATGAGCCAAAAAAGAAAAAATTAGGTAACTTAGCCTTTGTTAAAATTTAAAATTTTTGAAATGAAAAGGCAATGTACAGAACTAGAGAAATACTTGCAAATCATATATTTGATAAGGGTCTAGTACCCAAAATATATAAAGAACTCTTACAGCTCAACAACAAAAAGACAACCCAATTCTAAAATGGGCAAAGACTTTAATAGACGTTCTTCCAAAGAAGATACAGAAATGGATTACCAAGCATGTGAAAAGATTACCAACATCATTAGTCATTACAAAAATAAATAAATAAAAAAAAATGAGATACCATTTCCTACCCTCTAAGATGGCTAAATCAAAAAATGGAAAATAATAAGTATTGATAGGATATGGAGAGATTAAAATATCATACATTGCTGGGGGAATGTAAAATTGTTCAGCTACTGCAGAAATAATTTTGCAGTTCCTCAAAAAGCTAAAAATGGAATTACCATATTACCTAGTGTGATGGTTAATTTTATGTGCCAACTTGCCTAGGTCATGGCACCCAGATATCTGGTTAAACATCAATCTAGATGTCACTATGAAGGTATTTTTAGATGAGATTAACAGTTAAATCAGTTCTGGTAAAATAGGTTACTTGCCATAATGTGAGTGAGCTTCATCTAATCATTTGAAAAAAGTCTTAAGAGAAGAGGACTGAGGTATGCCAAAGGAATGTCCGGACTGCCCTCATACCCAGGCTGCAACTTCAGCTCTTCCTTTGGTCTCCCTGCAAAATTCAGAGTTGCCAGCTGCCACAATCACATGAACCAGATCCTTAAAATTAGCCAATCATTCTGTGTGTGTGCCTTTGTGTGTGTCACACACACACACACACACACACATACACACACACACAGTCTGTCCAGAAAAAGTCCAGCCATTCTTAATGTAATGAGAACAGTTTGCACAATATAGATATAATCTGGCAGCCAAGGAAAGTGGACTGGAATGCACATACATGAGTAATGATGACTTCGCTGTACTAGTGAGTGGGGACTGTAGACGCCCTTGAGTAAGCACATGCCCTGTGTAGCCTTTGCATTAAAAATGACTGAGTGAGTAGAACAATGAGTCTGCATCAGATTTTGCATTAAGCCTGAACACTCCTCCACAGAAACTATTCAGATAATTCAGAAGGCCACATGTGTGGGCAACTGGTGATTGGCAGCTTCATCATGACAAGTGACTCAGCCCCCCTGCAGCCAACATTTCTTCTCCTCCATTTTCTCTTTCTACTCTACAGATTTCATAATCTTCCTTCCCATTTTTGTCTATTTTCTGAGCAATTTTCTCAATTTTATCTTCTAGGCCTTCCATTTATGCTATCATATTTCTGATTTGTAACTAACTGATTATTATTCCTTGCTTCTAATGTCTTATATCTGTTTTATGCTATCTTAGCTTTATGTTATGGATATGTCTTTTGTTATCTCCCTGGAGATACTAGTGTTAATGCTTTGATACTTCCTTTGGTTCTGTATATTGTCCCTCTTTTCTCAGAGATTGTTTTATTCTATTTCTTTATATGGGTCCCTTCTAATTTTGGATGCTTTACTCAAATGGGTGATCCTTGGATATCCATAAGAATAAGGCTCTGCCCTATATGCCTGATGAGGCTTACATTAGCATTGGGAATGGAAGGGAGGGTTCTCCTGTCCATATTCCGGCAGCAGAGATGAGCCCTTCTCATCAGTTGCTCCCTCACAAGTGCTCCAGTGAAGACTTCCCTGGCTTTGCTCAACAGTTACCATACCTCCCCTGCTGGCTGCCTCCCAGAATTTTGTCCTCTTTGTTCTTGTGCCTTTGTTTTTTATTTTCTTTCCTTTGATTTTAGTGGGACTTTAGGAGGGATAGAAGATTGTGCAAGTGGTTGACCAGAAGTTCTACAGGTTATCAGTAAATGTTTTGATAATTTCCTGTCAGTTCTTCCTGCCTTCATTCTCTCCCTTCAAGGCAGTCTCAACTCTACTCCCTACTAATTTTCCTAAAACATATGTTTGCTAAGGCTACAACTTGCCAAACTTTAAATAACTCCCCATAAGAGATTTAGAATTCCTAGCCTGAACTACAGGGCCCTTTACAAACTGGACCTCTCAGTTTCATCTCCTCACCACTTTGGAATATTTATTTTGTTCCTAAGCTTATCATGTACTTCTCTCCTCTGTGTCTTGTCTATTTCCTGTGCCTAAATGCTCTATCCATTCTTCCTATCTAGTATACTCCTACTTATTCTTCTAAGTCCAAACCAAGTGTTATCACCTCTTGAGGCCTTTCAAGACTCCATACTTCACTGTAGGTAGAATTTGTTAACCCCTCTTATTCCCAAAGCACTAGGCTGATACCTTTAACATAGCACCTATACCTCAGAGCAGAGCAGTTCATTTACATGCCTACCTCATCAGCGAAGTTGTCACTTTCTTGACAGTAGGCACTATGCTTTCTTCTCCTTGATAGTCTAAGTACCAAGCTGAGCGCTTGGACCCTGTAGACATTCAAAAATGTTTACCAAATGTAGAATTATCATTGTGGTGGTGGTTGGTTCTGTTGTTGTTTTCCTTTTCTTAGGCACACAAGCCATGCCCCCGCTCTTCTCCTTGGGGTATCATCAGTGCCGCTGGAACTATGAAGATGAGCAGGATGTAAAAGCAGTAGATGCAGGATTTGATAAACATGGCATTCCTTATGATGTCATGTGGCTGGACATAGAGCACACTGAGGGCAAACGGTATTTCACCTGGGACAAGAAAAGATTTCCAAACCCCAAAAGGATGCAAGAGCTGCTCCAAAACAAAAAACGTAAGGTAAAATAAACCAACATTTCTGATCCTTTTAATTACAAGCACTTTTTAAAACTAGCTTTGGCACATTTGTCTGATTTTTTAAATGTCCATGAATATAGTACCTTCAAATGTAATTGAAACTGTGATAACAGAAAAACATGGTGATAAGTTGGTGCCACCACCCATCCCTGCCTTAGTTGTCTAGGTCTCCATAAGGATGAAGGGGCCGAGCTTTCAGGCTCATTTGCTGTGGCACCATGTACTGCTGTGATGGATCCCACAGCCCATGCAAAATTTGGTTCTGATGTCAGTATTGATGAAATCACACTGGTGTCAAGATTAATTAGTCACATAATAAGAGCTGGGAAAGGAGAGTGGCTCAACTTTTACCATGACTAGAGAGTTAGACAGGGGTGGATTCCTGTGCCAGTGCCAGGCCTGCTGTGGTTTGAACTTTCTGCTGGCATCAAAGGAGGGAGCCTCGGGGCTTTCTTGGTCTGCATGCACAGATATAGGAAGAAAGTAAGGGGGAGTGGTGGGGTTTGAAAGCACTTAATAGTCTAACAAAAACTGAGTTGATCTTTTTTTTTTAATCCCTGCCCAAGGACACTTTTAAGTTGCTTTTTAGAAAGAGAGGAAAGAAGAGAGAGAAACATCAATGCGAGAGAAGCATTGTTTGGTTGCCTCCTCTACATGCATGGACTGGGGATCACATGTGCTCGGACGAGGGATCAAACCTGCAATCCAGATATGTGCCCTGACCAGGAATCAAACCCACAACCTTTAGGTTATGGATGACACTCCAACCAACTGAGCCACACTGGCCAGGGCCAGAGTTGACTTGCTATTACTCCATTTTTCCTGCATGCTTCCCTGATAGATTCCACCTGTCAATCTGGCCAAGAAAATAACTAAAATAAAAAATTAGGAGGGGAAAATGTACTGGAAAGCATGTAATGCAAGGGGAGTGGTGGTAATAGCAATGATGAAAAGAGAGAGAAGAAAATGAAGAAAGGGGAGAGGAAGGGGGACCTTGTATGTATCATGTAAATGGATCCCTGCACTCCCTCTGCCCGAGATTAAAGCTGTCTTTTCAAGCCCCAGGCCTCTCACAGGTGGCCAGAACCAATCTTGTTAAGTCCTAATCTCCCAATGATAAATAGCTACCATTTATCCAGCACTGATTATGACCCAAAGAGTATGATAAAACACATTATTCCATCCAGTCATCACAAAATTGTAAGATAGATTTTGTTACCCCATTTTTCAGATGAAGAAACTGGTGCTTAGAATGGTTTTCTATTTTGCACAAAGGCACACATGGAGTAAGTAGCAAAGCAAGAATCTGCACCCTGGTCTGCCTCACTCCAGAACCTATGTCTTTATAAACAGTTATTTATCAAGGTCTTTGAATTTTTAAGATACTGTGCTAAAGATGAAGGGAATGTGGAGATGAGCTCCTATAGGAGTCTTACAGTGAGTGGGGTAAATGCAAGTATATAACAACCACAATACAGGGCAATAACATAATGGCCAAAGAAAGGTCAGGATGGTAGGTGGACCAAGATAAAGAAGGTTGCATCCGGTTGGCCTCAAGTAGGAAACTGTGCATTTTATATAAGCCCTTAGGAATAAGTCTTCAGGGGGATGGGGGGGAGAGGGAAGAGGGCAGTACAGCCAGAGGCTGGAACACCCAAGGGTATTTGGAAAACAGGCTAGTTTGACAGGAAAACAAGGCATGGGCAAGGTTTGAGAAGTAGGGAATTTGACCTTATTAAAGGCTGTTTGTATGCATTTGAAGACATTAAAAGTTTCTGAATGAAGAGTTAATATACAGAATGTATGAAGAACTCCTACAACTCAACAACCAAAAACAAAAAACCCAATTAACAACTAGGAAAAGGACTTGCTATTTCTTCAAAGAAGATGTATAGATCCAACAAACACATGAAAAGGTGTTCAGCCCTGGCCAGGTGGCTCTGTTTTTTGGAGCATTGTCCTGTACACCAAAGGGTTGTGAGTTTGATTCCTGGTAGGGCACATACCTAGGTTGCTGATTCAATCCCCGAGCGTGTACAGGAGGCAACTCATCGATGTTTCTCTCTCACATCAATGTTTCTCTCTTTCTCTTCCTCTCTCTCTAAAAATCAGTAAACATATCCTCTGGTGAGGAATTTAAAAGATGTTCATTATCACTAATCATTAGGGAAATGCAAGTCAAAACTGCAATGAGATACTACTTCATATCATTAAGATAGCTACTACAATAAAAAAAAAAAACCAATATAACAAGTGTTGGTGAGAATGTACAGAAATTGGAACACTTGTACACCAATGGTGGGAATATAAAAGGTACATCCTCTATGGAAAACAGTATGACAGTTCATCAAAAAACTAAAAATAAAATTATTCTATGACCCAGCAGTCCTACTTATGAGTAAAAACCCAAAGAATCAAAAGCAGGGTCCTGAGCAGAAATTTTTACACCTATATTCATAACAGCATTATACCAGACAATAGCCAAAAGGTGGAAGCAACCCAAATGTCCATTAACACATGAATGAATAAATAAAATGTGGCATAGACATACAATGGAATACCATTCATTTAGCCTTAAAAAGGAAGAACTTTCTTACACATGCTACAACATGAATGAACCATGAGGACATTATGCTAAGTGAAATAACCCAATCACCAAAAGAGAAATACTGTATGATTTCACTAATCTCTAAAACCTGGAGGAGTCAAAATCAGAGACAGATAAAAGAATGGTGGTTGCTAGGGAATGGGGAGAGAAGGGAATGGGGAGTTGTTCTCTAAGGAGTATGGAGCTTCAGTTTTGCAAGATTTTGTTCTGGACATTAATTGTACAAGAATGTGAATGTACTTAACACTATTGAACTGTACACTTAAAAATGGGTAAGGTGGTAAATTTTATGTAATGTACATTTTAGCACATATAACATTTAAAAATAAAAGTTTTTGAGCAATGGAAAATTAAACTTTAGTATGTAGAATTGATTTGAATAGATATGAGGAAGGATAATGAGAAGGTTATTCTAATAAAATGAAATGATTTGGAGCCCTAGACTAGGCAAAAAGAATGGTGTTAGAAAGGCCAGGAGAAATGTTAGAGAGAGCTGTGATCACACCTTTTTTCGGACTTCCTTCCTCATTTTGAGTTTAGGGTTTGGGGTTTTTGTTTGTTTTTAACATGCTATCCTGTTTTCTTAATGTTTGCTTCTGTTGGTGTTATCTTAGCCTCAAGATGTCTAGGAAGCAGAGACCTTGCCTACATAATCCTTTATGTACTCCACCCAGCACTACAGACAGATAGAAGGTTAATAAATACTGGTTGGCCAAAGTATTAGTTCATTTTTTCCTGTAAGATGGCTTTAGTAGCTCTTAGTTGTCTTTAACTTCATTCAAAATAATTTTATGATTGTATTGTGACAGCTGTCATATCAGCGTGCATTTTGAAAAAACTTACCAAAATTGGCGAATTTTTGCATAGCCATTTTAATATTAAATATGGAAGAAAATATGCAACGTTTTGGCATATAATGATTTTTTATTTCAAGAAAGATCAAAACACAACTGAAGTGCAAAAAATAAAACTATTTGTGCAGTGTATTGAGAAGGTGCTGTGACTGATCAAAAATGTCTAGAGTAGTTTGAGAAGTTTTGTGCTGGATATGTCTCACTGGATGATGCTCAGCGGTTTGGTGGACCAGTTGAAGTTGATAGTGATCAAACTGACACATTAATTGAGAACAATTAACATTATACATGGAGGAGATAGCCGACATACTCAAAATATTCAAATCAATAAAGGAGTTCCCCTAAGACTATCAGCTGATTTCTCAAAAGAAACCTTGTTGGCAAGAAGGGGCTGGGAAGAAGTATTCAAAGTCATGAAGGGCAAGGACCTACATCCAAGATGACTCCATCCAACAAAGCTCTCATTTAGAATAGAAGGGCAGATAAAGTGCTTTCCAGATAAGGTCAAGTGAAAGGAGTTCATCATCACCAAGCCCTTATTATATGAAATGTTAAAGGGACTTATCTAAGAAAAAGAAGATCAAAAACTATGAACAGTAAAATGACAACAAACTCACAACTATCAGCAACTGAATCTAAAAAAAACCCGAAAACAAAATCAAACTAAGCAAACAACTAGAACAGGAGCAGAATCACAGAAATGGAGAACAGAAGGTAGGGGGAAGGAGGAGAATGGGGGGAAAGGTACAGGGAATAAGAAGCATAAATAGTAGGTACAAAATAGGCAGGGGAAGGTTAAGGATAGTATAGGAAATGGAGAAGCAAAAGAACTTACATGCATCACCCATGGACATGAACTAAGGGCAGGGGGGAAATGCTGGAGGGAGGGGAGTACAGGGCAGAGGGGAATAAAGGAGAGAAAAAATGATACAACTGTAATGGCATAATCAATACTATATATATATATAAAAGTTTTTAAAAACTAAAAAAAAAGAAAAATGTGTCTTTATTTTACAGAATAGACTAAATGGACTCTTTGGCCAACCCAATACTATTTTAAAAACATTTATTGGGTTAGGCAGCAGTAATTACAATGTAATGTGGGCCTGGATTTGACATCAATTTATATTTCTATAAACACATGAAATATTTCAATACTAATAGCAGCGGTTTCTGAATAAAATTTGAACCAAGGAACTATGATGTAAACATACAATGAGGATAATGGCTCTTATGAAACTGATGAGATCATCAAACCTTTATGTCCTCCTGACAGCTCGTGGTCATCAGTGACCCCCACATCAAGACTGATCCTGACTATTCAGTGTATGCTAAGGCCAAGGAACAGGGCTTCTTTGTGAAGGATCATCAAGGGGGAGACTTTGAAGGGGTATGCTGGCCAGGTAAGATATTACTTTATATACTTATGTCCCGTGTTCAGTCCCAATTAATGAAGGTGTCATGGCCATTGTTATTCCTTTGTGGATGTCTCTTGCTACATTTTAAGCACCTTTAAGGAAGAGACGATGCTGCCTTTTTTTTATATCTTTCTTAACACCTGATACAGTGTACTTTGTATATGTTTATCGGTCAATGAGTGAATGAAACATAAAGAAGCAAACCTCAGTGGCATACTATTTCTCTAAGCAAATAAAAATGAAAATCCAGAGAATGGGTAAAGGAGAGGGCAAAGAAAAAGGGCCCTGGGGTCTCTCTCCTTGCCATTCGTCTTTGCCCTGTTGGTCCATACTTTGACTTCCCAGACTTTCATGAGTAGCCCAAGCTTCTGGCAACTCTGGATTTTTCATTTCAGAAATTATTAGTTTAAAGCCTTGATAGAGACTCCTCAAGGACAACAGGGAATCTCTATTCTATCATATCTTAGCACTCTATTGCAAATCTATGCACAGTAGAGAAACACCATGCATTTCTTCCTCCCCTCCCCTTCCATCAGTTATAAACACTTCTCTGTTCTCTTTAAGAACAGAGAGGTCACTACAGGATACTTGCCATCCTTATTTGGGCTCTCTCAGTGAGGGACAGGCCCCACCTTGTTACTTGTTCATTGGTGTGCCCTGGGCCTCTGGGGTTGAAAGGTCTCGTAGATTGTCACTGGGGTCCAGCATTGCCTTCTCACCAGATTACCCCTCTGTATCAGCTGTCTTTTACAGCTGATGCCCATTGATTACCTAGTTTTCACGTGTGATATTCCTTCTTAGAACACACCTTACCATGAGGACCACTATTTCTAACAGGCTGTCTATTCTTCTGCCACTACAGGTCTCTCCTCTTACCTGGATTTCACCAATCCCAAGGTCAGAGAGTGGTACTCAGGCCTCTTTGCTTTCTCTGTTTATCAGGTTTGTTTATATTTGTGTGCTCTTTCCTAGTTACTTGAAATGATGAAAGAAAGAAAGAAAGCAATTGAATAGAATTATTCTGCTTTACTGAATAGCTCCTGATAAATAATGCTTGTATGAAAAGGCAAGGATGGCAGTCACATTACAGACTTTGGAAGTGCTGAGAGGTGACATATATATTATCAAATGCACAAAAACTGGGATTTTGACCTGTATTATAATAAACTCTATGATATAGCAAAGTACTTAATAATAGAGATTTATCATATTTTCAAATACCTATATGTTTTTGTATAAAATAGCATTGTATAACTATTATTTAAAGGTGATAATGAGCCCTGGCTGGTGTGGCTCAGTGGATCAAGTGCTGGCCTGTGAATCTAAGGGTCACCAATTCGATTCCCAGTCAGGGCACATGCCTGGGTTGCTGGCCAGGCCCCCAGTTGGGGGCACATGAGAGGCAACCACACATTGCTCTCTCTCTCTCTCTCTCTCTCTTTCTCATTCATTTCTCCTCTCTCTCTAAAAATATATAAATAAAATCTTTTAAAAATAAAATAGAAGTGATAATGATATATGTGAAAATATCTTGCAAAGTATAACCTGTCATTAAAAGTAAGTTATACTGCTCAAGATGGAGGTGTAGGTAAACACAGTTCACCTCCCCACTTGACCACAATGAGAATACAACTAGACTACAAAACAAAGATCACCCAGAATCATCAGAAAGTCAAACTGTATGGAAGTCTGACAACCAAGGAATTAAAGAAGTCACATTCATCCGGATGGGTTGGAAGGGCGGAAACATGGAGATGCATGGAAAGGCGTGGAGACGGGAAAGGGCCATCACACACATGGGAAGGACATCTCAGGAGTGAGTGGTCCCAGCCCCACACCAGACCCCCCAGCCCAGGGTTCCAGTGCCAGGAAGATAAGTCCCCATAACTTCTGGCTGGAAACACCAGTGGGGGTTGGGGCAGTGAAAGAAACTGCAGAATTCTCAGGAGTATCCTCTAAAAGGGCCGGCAACAAACTTAGGACTTATACAGGCTCACTATCTCTGGGTTTCAGCACTGGGGCAGCAGCTGGAAGGGTACCAGTGGCATATGAGAAGAAATTGAAGTGTCTGGCATCAGGGCAAGTGCCAGGGGACAGCTTCCTTCGGACAAACTCCAGAGACAAGACAGTGACAGCATCCCCTCTCTGAGCTCTCCCGCAAACAGAGCCACAGAGTGATGACACATTGTATCGGAGACTCCATCAACCTGGTTCACATGGGTTGCCTTGCCCTGGCAATTACCTAAGGCTCTGCCCTATCTAGCTTAGTGATGCACTTTTCTACAACAGACCACACTACTAAGACAGCGAGTCAATCTACCTAACACATAAAAACAAACACAGGGAGTCTGCCAAAATGAGGAGACAAAGAAATATGGCCCAACTGAAAGAACAGAAGCCCAGAAAAAGAACTAAACAAAATGCAGATAAGCAATCTATCATATGTAGAGTTCAAAACACTAGTTATTAGGATGCTCAAGGAACTCACTGGGTACTTCAACAGCATAAATAAGACCCAGGCAGAAATGAAGTTTACACTAAGTGAAACAAAGAAAAAAATTACAGGAACTGAACAGTGGAGTGGATGAAGCCAAGAATCAAATCAATGATTTGGAACTTCAGGAATGAAAATACATTCAATCAGAAAAGCAAGAAGAAAAAAGAATTAAAAAAATGAGGATAGGCTAAGGGGCCTCTGGGACAACTTCAAACATACGAACATTCAAATCATAGGGGTGCTGGAAGGAGAAGAGAAAGAACAAGAAATTGAAAACTTATTTGAAAAAAATAATGAAAGAAAACTTCCCTAATTTGGTGATGGAAATAGATATCCAAGTCCAGGAACCACAGAGAATTCTAAACAAGCTGGACCCTAAGAGGAATACACCAAGACACATCATAATTAAAATGCCAAAAGTTAAAGATAAACAGAGAATCTTAAAAGCAGCAAGAGAAAAGCAGATACTTACCTACAAAGGAGTTCCCATAAGACTATCAGCTGATTTCTCAAAAGAAACTTTACAGGAAAGAAGGGACTGGCAAGAAGTATTTAAAGTGATGGAATGCAAGGACCTACAACCTAGATTACTCTATCTAGCAGTGCTATCATTTAAAATGGAAGGGCAGATAAAGTGCTTCCCAGACAAGGTAAAGCTAAAGGAGTTCATCATCAGCAAGCCATTATTATATGAAAGATTACAGGGACTTCTTTAAGAAAAAGTAGATCAAAACTATGAACATTAAAATTGCAATAAATTCACAACTATCAAAAATTGAAACTAAAAAGCAAACTAAGCAAACAGGCAGAACAGGAACAGAATCATAGATATGAAGATTATTTGGAGGGCTATCATCCTGGAGAGGGAAAGAGGAGAATGGGGAAAAAGGTGCAGGCATTAAGAAGTAAAAATTGGTAGGTACAGAACAGACAGGGTGATGTTAAGAACAATATAGGAAATGGAGTAGCCAAAGAACTTATATGCAGGACCCATGGACATGAACTAAGGGGTGAAGGATTGCCAGAGAGATTGGCCAGAGAGATGGGGGGGTACCAGGTGGAAGGGGGCAAATGGGTAAAAATTGCAACAACTGTAATAGCATAATCAATACATTAAAAAATAAAAGTAAGTTATAATAAATCAATTATTAAAATTATAAACATCACAGAGAAAACTGGAGAGGCCACATCTAGAGACCTGTTCTCAAACAGTTGTGATGATGATGATGATGACAATAATGATGCCTAATATAAACTGAGAATTTTCTGTGTGCCAAGCACTTTCTTTTCATAATCCATTTTATCTGCACAATAACCCTCTGAAGTTGGAACTATAATTAACTCTACTCCCACAGATGAGGAAATTGAGGCATGAACAAATTTAAAAATCTGCTAAGTTCACTCATTTTGTAAGTAATGGACCCAAGATTTGAACTCAGTTCCGTTTTTCTCTCAAGCCCAGCCCTTAACGACTCAACACTAACCATCATGTATTAGGACACAGAAAAGAACTTAGAGCAGGAATGGATGACTCCTGTGTCAAATGCTCATTCGTTTTTCTATTGTCTATGGCTTTCACACTACTATAGCAGGGCTGAGTTGCTAAAAAAGAGGATTTGTGGCCTGCAAAGTTGAAAATTGGGCTGTTTCCAGAAAAAGATTGCTAACCTTGATCTAGAAGGCGCTAAAGAAGAACAGTTGAAGTAGTTAAATGTATGAAAATCATATAGTCTTTTTCATAGAAGTACACATGTTTAGAAATAGTTGAAGGTAGAGTCAAAAGGAAATACATAAGCCACCTCCAGGCATTTGAAAGACTAACATATGGGTGAGGTAACAGATGTATTCTCTGGTGCCCTGGAAGGCAAGCTAAGCCCTGTGAGAGGATGTTACCGTTATTTTTCAGAAAATAATGGAATGAGCTGCCTGTGGGGCACCCTGTCATTGTAGCTATTTAGTCAAATGCTGAAAAGAATTCTATAAAGGGGTTGTAAGACCATGTTAACTAGATTCAACTGCCCCTTCTCTCTCTAAATTGAACAATTCTGTGTAGAACACAAGCTATAAATCATACTAACAAACAGCTGTCTTAGCTGTCAGATTTTTCAAAGTATTATAGGGAAGGCACAATTTTATCATGTACAACTACAACTACCCTTCCCTTAGTTAAGAGTTGTAGAAGATGATGGATGATATAAAGCCTAATTGTGAACATTCACAACCTTTCCTGTGGGGGTTCTCCAGGTAGATCTCAGAGTGGACTTGCTGGGAAATGTGTATTTCACAGCTTTCTTTCATTCAACAACAAATACTTACTGAGAACATTGTGTGGCTCAGATACTGTGCTAGGTCTTTGGGATCTATCAGTGGACTCCCTGCCCAGTGGAACTTTCTATTCTAGCAGTGGAGCAGAGCACATATCATAAACATAATAAGTAATAAATTAAGCAGAGGAGGAAAGAGGATTGGGGAAACTATCATATTACCATCATCACTATTATTTTGTGTATTATTTTGACCAAGATTTACTTTCTAGGGATCTACTGACATCCTCTACATATGGAATGACATGAATGAGCCCGCTGTCTTTAGAGGGCCAGAGAAAACCATGCCGAAAAATGCTATTCATCATGGCAACTGGGAACACAGAGAACTTCATAACATCTATGGTTTTTATCAGGTAAGACATCCAAGAAAAAGCCAACTGTGCCCTGCCTTTTGAGCTGAAAGGTATTTCCTTTGTAATAGCCATATTATATACTGTTCATTTCTCTTTGTGTGTTTTTTCTGACAACTGCAATGAATTTTAGCAAGTTGTAGCCGATATAAGACTTACCGTGTCTCTCCATTTGCATCTTTTCCTTCTGTAATGAACTTGGTGAATTTACAGATGTGAGGTTAATGATAACATAGAAACATCTTTCTTGACGGGAGCCATTAGTAAATGGCATTGGATACTACCTCAAAACTTTTATAGAAGTAAGCAGTGTGGAAAAACAAAGGCAATGAAAACAAATGTTAAAAACTTTCACAAGTATCTAAATACATCAAGTCTTACATTTATACCAGATGAGTAAGATTTAGAACACACACAATTTCAATAAGTATACTTTTTAAATATAGAAAGCCTTCCTTAAGTATTTAGCCTTCTCAATAGAAAGTGGTAGAATTATCTTCCATTGGCCAAGCACATCTAAAAGACTTCAGAGTCACTTGCCCTAATTTATACCTGTGGTTCTTTGTTATTTTCATAATGTAACTATGTTTTTATGGCCCTCCCATCAACTGGTGTTTTCTAGTGGGAGCCACTGGCTAGACATAGCATGGTTTTCAGGTAGAATGTGTTTACACTTCTCTAACAGCCTTTTGCAATAATTCCACACTACTTTAGAATTTCCTTATGTAGGCCAGGACCAGTCATTTAACCACTCTGAATTTCAGAGTCTGGTTTTTTTTTTTTTCTTTCATTAATGAACACTGTCTCAGAGGCCGTTTTGTAGATTATAAGAGAAAATTTATAAAATGCCTAACAATAGTAAGCACCAAATAAATACCAGCTTATTATTTACTTTATTTTATTTTATTGCTATTTTAACCAAATAAATGTTCCATTCTTTTAATAAGGGAATTTAGAGTAGTTTCATTATATCATAAAAATTGTTCAATGGATTTAATATTTTTTACTTCACATTCCCACCTAATATTTACTTTTTGCATGTTAAGTAGTTTATTGAGGATGTCTACTCAATGCTCTAATCCAATCATCTATTTGAAATTTTTCTCCTTTGACTTAATAGCAAAAGGCTACTGCAGAAGGATTGATACAACGATCTAAGGGAAAGGAGAGACCCTTTGTTCTTACACGCTCTTTTTTTGCTGGATCACAAAAGTATGGTAAGGAATGGCTCATATAATCAGATGTCAAAACACTAGTCTTTTTTGACCATTTATAGTATATAGGGCTACTAATGCCTTCCTTTTCAGTAGCGATTGGGCAGGCCTTAGATGTGCCCTGACATATGTATTTTGCCCTATGAGCAGAATAAACCAATTTTAATAAGTTTAGTTACTCATTTCCCACTGAAGAAATGACCACTTTATTGTTGGATGAATGGCCTCAGGAGTATCTCAATGTGTTGGGATGGTCATCTCTGATCCTGTCTCTTTGATTTATCAAAACCAGAGAAAATAGGTCTGGCTGGTGTGGCTCACTTGGCTGGAGTGTTATCTTGTCAACCAAAAGGTTATGGGTTCAATTCCTGGTCAGGGCACACACCTGGGTTGAGGGATCGGTCCCTAGTCAGGGAGTGAACGATAGGCAACCAGTCAATGTTTCTCTCACATCAATGTTTCTCTCTCTCCCTCCCTTCTCCTCTCTCTCTAAAATCAATAAGCTTGTCCTTGGGTGAGGATAAAAAAAAAGGGGGGGGATATACTTCTAACACATACCTTCAACCACCTGTTCAGCTTAGCAATATGGCTTAAAATAGACCTGGCTGTTGCTTGTGATGAGGGCCATCTATAACTGGATCCAGTTTTAGCTAAAGCAGATCTAGTTCAACTTCACCACCCTGTGGTAAGAAGGCTATTTTAAGTCCCCTGGCCTTGCAGAGATAACTGAGAACATAGGTTCTAGTTTGAAGAATCCAGCCTTTATTAGGTCTCCTACTCTACCCCACAAACCAGCCCCTGTGGTACTCAAGAAAAGGCCAAAATATTGTCATCTCAAGCAAAGATTCATGTACAGAGATGTTCACCAAAGTCTTAGTTCCTGAAGCCAAAAAAAAAAAAAAAAAGAAAATCCAATATGTAAGGGTTATAAAGCTATGGTATATTAATATGTTATACTGTCATAAAGCTATTTAAAATAGCCTAATTGCATGAGAAAATGTTTGACATCATGAAAAATGAAAAAAGAATGCCTAAATGCTTATATGTATATATAATATATAGATTACTATATATATATATATATATATATAGTAATCTAAATAAGTATAATACCTTGGTGATTATAATTGATTTTAATTCTCTTCTTTTTCCTCTGTTTTCCAAATTCTCTACAAGCATCATTTTTAATCACTAAAGAAAGAATTTTTTTAAAAAGCATTTATAAGCTGTAGTTAAGATAAAAAAATATGCATACTGAGTAATCTTTGTTGGCCTATCACCTAGTCTTCAGTACTTTGTGTTGACGCTATCAGCTTCCTCCCAAAGAGCAGCGAATGAAGCACTACAGAGAACACTATTGTGTTGTCATATGCTGTGACCAATAACCAGAGAGCTTTTGAATAAACAACCGTATGAGATATGAAGACATCTGCATGTTCACATGAACTTTCTTTCTTGATGAGAATGCCATCATGTGGATTTCAAAATCTTTATGTAGATATATACATATTTTATTTGAACTGAAGAAGTTATTAGAGTACTGTTTAAAAAGAACGGTCCCTTGATTTTTCTTTTTACTAGCCATAGGACAACCTAAAATTTCTATGGAAAATTAAAAATAACTACCAAAACTCAAAACTGTTTTGGTAGAACATAGACAAAAGTGCTTCAGGAGTAATCTAGATATAGTAAAATAAGATTGTTTTCTTTTATGGATATCTTTAGTACTATATAATGTGTCTTCACAAACTCTAATCAACTATACAGTGAATAAAAGGTCTTTAGAGTCAGACTGTCTGGGCTCAAATCCTACCTCTACCACCTAGTAACTCTAACTCTAGGGAGATTATAATACCTACTGTTTGCCATAATTCCTCATCTGTAAAATGTAGTTAATAATAGTGTTTACCTGGTAGGGTTGTTGTGGTGATTAAGTGGGATAATATAAGCAAAGTAGCTCAGTAAGAACTTGATAAATGTTAACTGTTGTTACTGCTGTTTTTATTGTATCTCCTATATGGTCTGTACCCATGTTCTCAAACTACAGAGGTTTTGTTTTGTTTTTTCTTTTTTGTTTGGTTTTTTTTTTCAGGGGTGAGGAAAGGTGAGGGAGAATAGGCATATAGTTCAATGGAACAAAACAGAGAATCCAGATGGAATTCAACATATATATGATGAATTAATTTGCAACATAGTCATGAAGGCAATTCAATGGAAAAAAACATTTTTTTCAATAAATGGTACTGGAACAACTGGATAACCCTTACCTCACACCATACACAAAAAAGTAACTCCAAATGGAATATAGACCTAAATTATAAAGCTGAAACAAACAAATATAAAACTTCTAAAAGGAAACATAGGAGTAAATATTTGTGACTGAGATAGGCAAAGATTATTTGGATAGAATACAAAAAAGCATGAACCATAAAAGGAAAACATGATAATGGAAACTGATCAAAATTAGAAACTGCTACCCTTACAAAGATGTTAAGGAAATGAAAAGTTAAGCCACAGACTGAAAGAAAATACTTGCAATATACATCTCTGTCAACAGACTTGTGTCCAGAATAGATAAAGAACTTTTACAATGAAATAATAAAAAGACAATCCTACTTTTTAAAATGAGCAAAAGATTTGGATACTTTACAAAAGACATATAAATGATCAATATACACATGAAAAGATGCTCAATATCATTAGTCATTAGAGAAATATAAATTAAAGCCACAGAGAGACACCACTACACACCCATTGGAATGATTAGAATTAATAAGACTAACACTAACAAGTGTTGATAAAGGGTGTGGAGCAACTGCAACTTTCATCTATTGCAAATGTAAAATGGTACTACCACTTTGCTAAACGATTTGGAATTTTCTTAAATTGTTCAACACACACTGAGCATAGACTAGACCCAGCAATTTCTCTCCCAGTTGTTTACCAAAGAGAAATGAGAACATATGCCACACAAATATTTGTATATAAATGTTTATAGTGGCTTCACTCATAATAGCCCAAATTTGTAATGAACCCAAATGTTCATCAGTAGGTGAATGGATAAGCAGCTTGCAATATATCCTTACTATGGAATACTACTCAACGAATGAAAAGGAGTTAACTACAACATTATGCTGAGTGAAAAAAGCTGGAACATAAGAGTATATATTGGGTCGGCCAAAAAGTCCATTTCATTTTCACCAAAACTTTATTGATTTGGATATTTTGAGTATGTCAGCTATCTCCTGCATGGTATAATTTTCATTGTTCTCAGTTAATGTCTGTGTGATCACTATCAACTTCACCTGGTCTACCAGACAGTGGTACACTGTCCCGTGAGAAATCTCCAGCACAAAACTTCACAAACCACTTTTGACACGTTCCGTCAGCCACAGCACCTTCTCCATACAGTGCACAAATCTTTTATTGCAGTTTTACCTTTCTTGAAATAATAAAGCATAATGTGCCAAAAATGTTGCATATTTTCTTCCATCTTCAATATTAAAATTCACCAATTTTTTAAAATGTATTGCATTTTTTTACATTACCTTTAAGCCCCCTTAAACTTCCCCCAACAGCAATCACCACACTGTTGTTCATATCCATGAGCCCTTTTTCCTTTGTGCTCAGTCCCTCCAATTCACCAATTTTGATGTTTTTTAATTCACTCTGATAGGACAACTGTCACAATACCATCTAACAAAATTGTTTTGAATGAAGTTAAAGACAACTAAGCACTACTCAAGCCATCTTATGGAAACAACCAAATGAACTTTTTGGCCAACCCAATATTGTGTTTCCATTTATATGAAATTCTAGAAAAGAGTAATTTATAGTCACAGAAATCAAATCAATAGTTGGATAAGATAGGGGGCTATTGACTGCAAAGAAGTGAACTTTTGCTGTTATGGGAATGTTCTATACTCTGCTGTGATGGGGCTTACATGGGATACACATTTTTTAATCTCTTCAAACTCTTCACTTAAGGTATATTTTTGTATGTAAAGTTATACCTTAGTCAAGCTGATTTTTTTAAATGTTCCTCATAAAATCAGACTTCAGTTAAATTTCAAAAATAAGTGTGATTTCAGAATATTTTCATAAATTGTTTTGTTGATTTTAATAACTTTTTCACATTAAAAAAAATTAATGTATTTTTATTGTGGAAAACCAGAACTTGTATATTTTAAGGTAGGGAAGAAATGTTTTCCTTTATATTAATTTGTCTATTACAAATAAGGAATATAAATACGAAATCAAGGGCGCGGGCTGATTTTTGATTTTTTAAAAATACCTTGTCACTGGTGTCCAAAGGTGCTGTTTGGACAGGCGACAACAGAGCAGACTGGAGTTACCTGAAAATTTCTATCCCTATGTTACTCACTCTCAACATTACTGGGATCTCTTTTTGTGGAGGTAAGATGACATCCTCAGGCCTGAAGTGAGAGAAAATAACAAGTAAGGGTGTTTTCCTAAAAGCTGGTCACAAATTCCTTCTCATTGGCTGTTTTGGGCAGGGATAAATGTAGAAAAGAGAAAATGAGGAAAGTGAAGGGGAGCGGATTAGAGAGGAGAGAAGGGTAGCTTCAGAGCTGTGTGTGTCTTATCCGAACGGAGGCCATAAATTCAGAAAGGGAGCCAGAGTGCTGCTTTCCTTCATTCTCTTATTTCTTCCTCCTTAGCCACTCTTGACACTCTTGATAACTGAGTTTCTCTTCCTGAAGTATGCCTTTTCTTCCTGAAAGAAAAATGGAAAGAACTACAAAGAATTTTGCAAATCAGAAATCCACCTTACAGAAATCCTTTTTACTCAGCAAGTTTAAAATTCTGTGACATATTTTTACTGTTAAAAAAAAAAGATATGCTTTTGGGAAAGATAAGTTTAGATAAAATAAGATTCTCTAATAGGCCGCCTACCCCAATCCTAGTAATTCTCTGTGGATGGGAGAGCTCAATATGAAGGTGCTCAGCATGGCTGCAGTTCCAGCTGCTCCTTGTTTTCTGTAGGAATAGAAGTGACTTAATATCACTTTTTTATAGGTGTGTTTTTATGGCATTGGTCTACATGTTACCGAACAAATGGACCTGTGGGGAGGGTGCCCAGATGCTATTACCAAAACAATGACCCCCCCCTCTTCCCCGGTGTCCCTCAGTTATAGGTCCTTTGCCCACCACCCTTGGAATTATGGCTCTGAATGGCAGAGTTTGGTGAAAAGGAAAGGAACTATTTATTCAAAAGTTATACAGGTTTGATTAGTGGCTAAATGTCACTCTTAAATCTCAAAATCACTTTAAAACATCGACTAACACACACACAAAGTCCTGCCTTCCCCACTTTGCCCAGTTAGGCCAGTTAGGCCTGTCAGGGGTACCGTCCTTCAGAAGAAAAAAGAACATTAGTCCAGGGCTCCACTAGGCAGGCCTCTTGCTGTTCTCAGCACCATCTGCTGCGTCACCACGATCTCCAGCTCTTAATCTATAACCATGTGACACCTTTTAGCAAGAGTCCTTTCTCCCCTCTTCCTTCCCGCGTGGTCTTCACACTGTTCCCCAGAGTCTGTGTCCCTTTGTCTCTCCTGCAGGCCCCTGTCTCTCTTCCTTCCTCTCCCAGTTACATTCTGCATTAAGTATTTCAAACCTTCCTGATTAGCCTTGGTGATGTGCAAAATAACTCTCTTTGCATATGAGGAATGAAGCTATCCTGTTTTTGACACACAAAATGACTCTCAATGGCCCTGCTCAAGGCTCCCATCCCCCGTGGTGGCCCGCCCTAGGGTGGAGAGAATATATTTTTCTTGGACACGCCAATCTCTGGACCCTGTCACAAATACCCTTGAGGGCGGAGGGGGGGGGGGGGGGGCCTGGATGTGCCCCATACACACAAGGAATATGTATCCTGTTTAAGGATGAAACATGAAATTCTGCTTAAACCTCTAATTCTCATTACCTGTTTCTATTTAGTTATTTCTATAATTTTTATCTTTCTTTAATTGTTGCTTTCAAAAGAAATCAATTGCCAAACCTCTACCCACCCACCCCCTCAAATACAGACTTACTGAATCAGGCAGACATTTTGCAATTTCCGGGTTGCATAGGTTGAGGAACATACCTGAATATTGATCTTGCAGCAAAGCCTCTGACCTTTTGACAAGAATAGAATATAAAGAGAGTGTATTGTCAGATCCCCAAACAAGCTGAGTTTTTTTCTATATGCTAATTTGAGGCCACAGTTTATCATTTTGAGTGCACACACAGCAACTTTCTCCTGTCAGTCCCTAAGGCCTTATTTTAAGTACTTGTGTGCATCATCTGTTAAAAGCATGGTTATCTCACAAGCCTTTCTTTGAATAACAAACCAGCTGATGTAGGCGGCTTTGTCGGAGATCCAGGCGCAGAGCTGCTAGTGCGCTGGTACCAGGCTGGAGCCTACCAGCCCTTCTTTCGCGGCCACGCCGCCATAAACACCAAGCGACGAGAACCCTGGCTCTTTGGGGAGCAACACACCCAGCTCATCAGGGAAGCCATCAGAGAGCGTTACGCCCTCCTGCCCTATTGGTATTCTCTGTTCTACCGTGTGCATGTGGCTTCTGAACCCGTCATAAGGTACGTAAGGCTTCACCAGTCAGAGGCCCGGGCACCCAATCTAACGAGCCACTGGGGACCGGAGGAGTTACACAGTGATTTCAAGAGAAAAGGTGAAGGAAAGGCATATGTCTAATCAAGTGTCACTCAGCTTTTTGAGCACCAGCTGTGAGCAGGGGGCTCACAGGTGAAGTAGCAGAAGATAACTAGGTCTTCTACCATTTGGTGATTCCAGTGTCAATATTTGACTTGAGACAGAAATAGAGATTTTTCAAAGAAAAATGAAATGACTTTGTAACTGAATTCATTCAGTATTTAACCCACAAGCATCCTCTCATGAAGAACAATTTTATTCTGCCAGTTGTAAACTCTTTCTTACCGCTAGGGCTATCCAAGTTTGAGGTAAACATTTCTCCCAGTGTATAAATTCTATTCTGATTCTATTTTGAAGATAGATGTGAAAAAAACAACTTCCTAGGTTAGAGGACGAATCACATAGAGACATGCATCGTGCACCAAGACTTTTGAATAAGCAGCTCCTAAATCTAGCTCAGTTCAGAATCACCTGGAAGCTTTTTCTAAAATGCAGATTCCAAGGCCACGTCTCTAGACCTAGTAGGAATCCTTCAGTAGGTCCCAGGGATCTACATTTGGTAGAAGTTTCCCTGGTGATTCTAGACATCAGCCAGCTTTAGAGATCACTGCTTTGTTACTATTTACAGTAGGAAAGGGAATACATTATTACAAAAGCTAGTGAATAAACTAAAAATAAGTCTGATTAAAAAATATCTTTTCCTCATGAAATTGAAAAATATTATTAGAAACATTAAGTTGATATTCAGAAACATAGATATTGAAAGTTTTCTGTATAAGCTCAAATGCCTTCTAGATCATGATATACATCAAAAACAATAAAACAACCACCATGCAACAGTTTCTCAAGCCTCCAAAAATGTTGCCAGCTTGAAAACAAGAAAAAACATTTCATTTAAAAAAGTAATGACTAAGGATGCATGAAAGCATGAAAAAAATGGCACACATTTTATATCATTATAAAATGGTTTCACAAACATTTCATTTGTTTTTACACCAAAATGAGTTAGGCATTTGGACTTGCACAAAACTGATTGTGCCTGGCAGGGTAGTATGTCTTTATTGTTCAACAATCAGAAGGAAAAATTGTAGGTACCAGAATTCTCAGTTTTTCATTTAAGTTAACTGATAGCTCTTTCACATAAGAAAAAGAAATAATCCTAGCAATTGCTCATAAAAACCTTGAATCATATGAAAAGAATCTTGGCTCATTGGTTTTTTCCAATTTCCTTTGAATAGTTACAAAACTGAATGTATAAGTAATTGAATTATAATAAAACATCTAATGATGTTGAAGTAACAATTTTTCCGCTTTCCCCAGGCCGCTATGGGTAGAGTTCCCTGACGAATTAGAAACTTTTGGTGTGGAAGATGAATACATGCTGGGTGAGCATTTCTTGATTAATTACAATTATGATAAATACTATAATTATGTTCTTGTTATTGTATTTTCTAGTGTAAGAGCACTAAAAAAATCCCTCATTTTTCAAGAAAGCCAAAAAATAAAGGAAAGTGTGTCACCAAGATTTTTAGTGCTAGTGCATTAGTGGGATTATAGCTATTCTGTTTGTAGCACCTCTCATAATATCACCTTTAAATAAATCCATTCTATTTGCAGATGCAGTTGGGATTCTTGTTCTGGGTCCAGTCGTAGCCTTGTGATACCATTAAAGGGAAGGGAAGCAGGAAAATGTAGTCTTGATCAAGGTTGTAGTGAAGACCCAATAGAGCTTATTTCATATGCAAAATAGGATTGGAGGTGGTGTCTTTTTAAACTAGGGTTAATCACCAAATCCAGAACTTGGAAGTCTGTCATCTTGGCAACAGGGCTGAAAAAGTCAGGCTCTGGAAAAGCTGTTGCTGCTCTTGATGCATAACATACTGCTCTTGGTCTTTTTATATAAATAAATATATATACATTATATATATATATAAATTTAAATTTTTGGAAACTTTAGCTGTGCTGTCAACTTTGGAAAAACTATCCCAGTTGTACTATGTAGGGTTGGCATTGTACAGAAATTAACAGATGTATTGGTCTAGAAATGTTCAACATAATATTTTCCATTTGTACAGGGGTAACACACTGTATTAAATATGTAATGTCTTAATCTACATGGGTTTGATTACAGAAACTAATAAAGTATTCTCTAAATAATGAAAAAAAAAGCCAGGCTCAACAAAGTTACCCAAAAGGTGGAATTCTAGAGGGTGGAAACCCCACAATGTAAAATACCTAATATGCTCTTTAGTTCTCCACTCATGCTTAGGTCTCAGCTGAAACAGCTACTTCCCTGGAGAAAATTTCCCTAACGAAAATTGCTTCCTAACACCTAATTCCACCTAATTAAGTCCAAGTCAGTCCTTCCTATTACGTAACTTTCATTTTATTTTGTACCTTGCCTTTTTGATATTTGTCTGAATTCTAATTCATTTGTAATTACTTACTTAATACCTGTCTTCACTGACTGTAAACTCCCTGAGGACAGGGACCATGTGTACCTTATTTGCCACTATATCCGCAGAGCTTAGCACAATGCCTGGTACTCAGTAGGTACTCTATAATATTTGTTGAATTAAAGAGTGAATTCATAAATGGATGAATTTTACATACATGCTGTGTCAAAGCCAAAACAAAATTAATAATTCAGGCTGTGTTTAGGAGAATTTTAGCCTTCCCAATGATAATTGCCCAAGGAAGGTCTGAGTATCCATGTTGACCACACTTCTGGATAACAGCTATAGGCTCACCATCACCAACGTCACTTACAGAAAATAATGAAGCACTTGGAGAAGTGCGAGGGCACTTTCAGACTTTGGACACACTAGCAGTTATGCACAAAAAGAAGCTATGGGTCCCTCCCTATAATCTCACCTACTATAAGTGGATTAATAATAGACAATAATACAGTCACCTCTGTGAGTACCTGTCCTCCTTCTAGCAATGCATCTCTCTGATGCATTGAAAGTTGGTTCAACTCACCAAGGACTCTACCTTTCAAAAGTTCACAGTCTAGTGAACTTCTAGGCTGTGGTTCCTAAAACCACAGAAGCACTCAATTCAAAGGAAAGGATGTTTTCAGACTTCTTACAACAATATTCAATTTTAGTTCTTCTCCATTTTTCAGGAAGCGCTTTATTGGTTCATCCAGTCACGGAGCCAAAAGCTACAATGGTTGATGTGTTTCTGCCAGGGTCAAATGAGGTAAGAGTGAATGACAGTCACATATTTTATATGTCTCATATCTCATCCCTCATTCTGATGAATTAGCTTCTGTTAGGAAATAGATTTCTTCATCAGGCAGTTGTGAAGACTGCACAAATGACTGTAGCAACTCAAGATTCTTGTAAGTCATGACAACCATCCTCTGAGGTCAAGAAACTTAAGGGAAGAGCAGGGAGAGAGACAAATAGGTGATGACGGCAAGGAGGGTCAGAGTGGTACTTTATCTTCACACTTCACCCTGTGTTGGCAGCTCCTTATACATTGAGGTTTTAGGTAGGAAGAATGTTCAGTCCACTATGAAGTGTCAAACTCTGGGGAAACAAGTATAAAAAGACTCTGTTCTTTGGTTCTGGCTCTGTCTGAATCCTGAGTTTTTGGCACCAAAAGCTGGTCTTCAGACATTCACCAGGAGTAAATAAAAAGTAACAACAGTGACTTCCTTCTCTGCCCCTCCAGCCTTCTTCTCCTCTTGTATTGGTTATTGTCATCTATCTTTGTCGCTGTATAAAATATTATCCTGGACCTATTGGAGCCCAGGACACTGAACCCAGGCAGGGCCTGGGGGAAAGGTGGGTATAAGTCAAAGGGCTACAGCACAGTCAGACAGCCATGGGCGATAAGAGCAACGGCCTCCAAAGGCAGACCAAGTATATATCCAAAGGGGCTAGGAGAAGACAGGCAGAAACTCAGGGCATCGGGCCGGGAAAACTGCAGGAATGGAGAGCAGGAAGGAGACAGATCCTGGAGGGAGCCCTTGAGCACTAGAGCATTGTCACAGGCTTCAGCAGACAGGGAAGAGCCAGGAAGGGTACTGAACTGATGTGGGCGGGGGGGTGGGGGGAATGACCACAAACTTGGTGGCTTGAAAGGACAAAAATTTATTCTCTCACAGTACTGGAGGCTTAAGTCCAAAATGAAGGTTTGGTTCCTTCAGGAGGCTCTGAAGGAGATCTGTTCTACGGCTCTCTCCAGCTTCTGATGGCTTCCTGGCTTGGCGCTCCTTGGCTTGCACCTGCCTTACTTCAGTCTATGCCTCCATCCTCACAGTGCCTTCTCTTCTGTGTGCCTGTGTCTCCTCTTCTCTCTCATAAGGATGCTTGCGATGACGTTTAGGGCCCACCTGGATAAGTCCAGATAATCTCTTTTTCTCAAGATCCTTACATTAGTTAGTTAAATCTGTTACCACAGAGGGTAATACCCACTCCTTCCAGGGATTAGGAACTAATCAGACTTTTCTCCAGAATGTTCATGAATTATGGTTTTTGTCTTCGGTTTCTCCAGTGATTTGCCATTCTGAAGCTGAGGGCTCTTTACAAAGGTTCCCTTGCCAAGTAGAAACTTAAGGAAAAGGTTAAATAAAACAGCTAAATAAATTGCCCTGCCAAGCATATCTGCTGAGAGTTGCTCAAGTTGATTCTAAAAAAGCAAAAGTTCCCATGAAGAGTAACTAGCCCCCTTTTTGACTTAGCCACAGATTCTTATTAATGGCCTGTCATCCCTGCAAGTACATTGCTATGGCTACGTAATCTTTCTCTCAGCACTGCTTCCCAGAGCATTCTGTAATTGTTCCTCCTGCCTACAGCTTCCCAAAGCCTGGGTAGAAGAGCCAAGCCATTCCTTGCCAGACCCTTGCCTCACTGGTTAGCTAGTACCACATCGCATTGTGCAAGGGGGCTAGCTAAGGGCCTTCACTGTCACTTTCCCCATATTTCTGTATGGTTCATTCCCTCTCCTTCAAGTCTTTTCTTGAATATCTCTTTCTCAGTGAGGCCTTCTCTGATCACCTCTTTAAGATTATAAGCCACTCCCATTGCCCCTGTCCAGCCCTCTTTCAGCCTTTATTTTTCTCCACAGAACAGCGGCACCTTCTAACATTCCATACATTTACTTAGATGTGTGGTTTATTATTTTCCTCTCCTGTTAGAATGTTAGCTTTCTGGAGGCTGATTTTTATCTGTTATGTTTACTGCTATATCCACAGCATCTAAAAGGGTAGTTGGCACATAGTTGTCCTTCAGTAAATACTCGCTGGGTGAGGAACTTGCTGACTAAGCTCTAGGTCTGGTCGGCATGGTGTTTTGTACCAGTTATACCCTTTCTAGGTTGGAAATCTATGTATCTGGCAACAGAGCACAATACCCTCTACCTCTCATTCTAACAAGTTCCAGAAATGGAGACAGGTAAGCCCAAAATCTTGTTTGAGTCAGGTTCGTTGGTTTATTTGTTTGTCCCACCAGCTTTTTATCTAAAGCTACTGAAACTCACCAAATAAAGACATTGCAAGGAAAGAAACCTAAGACAATATCCCTCATAAATACAGACACAGAAGTATTTGATAAAACATTAGCAAATTGAACCCAGCCAAGGAGAATACATCATGATGAGGTGGGGCTGATCCTGTCGAATGAAGAGTTCACTGTAGCTAACGCTAGACAAGTGACAGCTTTCTCACCTTCACAGCACAACAGTGACAATGCAACAGCACAGCTGTACAAAGGATGTGGTGATCCCAGGAGGTGAACTTGCAAAATAGACCTGGCGGCTGCCAGAAATTATACGGGCCTAGAAAAGAGAAAAATGGGTTTTGTTTTCGTGCTGCTTCTGATGGTATCTTAAGGATTTATCCCATCAAATTACTTTGCAGGACCTTTTTGGCACTTCAGCAACTAAACCCCCATGACAGGAACCCTAGATAAGAGTTTGACTTGTCCCTGAATTGTACTCTGTAAAAAATGATCCTATAGTAATAACTCAAGTTTCCATCTGTTTATCTCCAAGATCTGTTTCCTTCCCTGACACTTTCCTTTTCTTCTGCTTCATCTGTAATATATTTGCTTGCAATGTGCTTTCCTTCTTTGATGTTTCCTTCTCTCTCTTTCATCATCATTTTTATTACTTGACTCATTAAGTTCTTATAAGCCAACTGAACTATAAAATCCATGAGGTCAGGAACTGCATCTTTCTGTTCACTCATGTGTACCTAGCAGTGCTAGGCATGGGGTAGCTTGTTTAGTAGATAACTTTTGGGTGGTTGGACAAATGAGTGGCCTTTTAGTCAAATTAATCTGTCACAGAGTAAACTAGTCCTTTGGGATCTTCTTAAAAGTATATGTCCTTCCTAACTTCTACTTAAGATTTTTTTTAAAATTATATTTATTTTAGCTTTCTGATTATGTGAAATCAAGACAAATGGGTGTTTTAGTGAATAATAAAATCGTGAGCAGAGTTGCTCATATGCTCCTTTTCATTGGGGTCTGTTCTTTTTCAGGTCTGGTATGACTGTAAGACATTCACTCCTTGGGAAGGAGTGTCTACTGTGAAGATCCCAGTAACCTTGGATACTGTATGTTATTTTCACTGTTTTTTCACCTATTGGGCTGTATTAGTCTGCTCAGACTGCCATAACAAGATACTATAGACTGGTTGGTTTAAACAATAGAAATTCATTTTCTCATAGTTCTAGAGGCTAGAAGTACTAGATTAAGGTGCCAACCAATTCAGTTCCTGGTGAGAACTCTTCTCCGGGCATGTAGACAGCCACCATCTTGCCGTGTCCTCACATGGCAGAGGCAGAGAGTGAGGCACAGAATCAAAACCCTACTCTTATGACCTTCCTTAACCTTAATTCCTTCTGCAAAGGCCCTGTCTCCAATTATAATCACATTGGAAGCTGGGGCTTCAACATACAAATTTGGGACAATGCATTCTGTCCATAACAGGTTCCTGCATGGAAAAAAACCAAAGAACTCTGCAGAATAACGCATATGTATGGAAACAGAAAGTAGATTAGTGGTTGTTTAGGATTGGGCAAGGGAGAGGGTTTGGGAGCAATGGGGATGACTGCTAATGGGCACAGGGATTCTTTCTGGGGTGATGAAAATGTTTTAAAAATGAGTGTGGTGATGGTTGCATGATTCTGAATATACCAAAAATCATTTAACTGTATACTTTAGAAGGGTGACCTGTATGACATGTGAATTATATCAATAAAACTGTTAAAAGATGAGAAAAAAAGAGCATAAAAATAACATATACTCTGGTGAAACATCAAGGACAAACAATGCTTCCCCTTATATTTACTTTTGTATGTCTAAGAAAAAGAATAACACTGCAAACAGAAAGCAAACATGGTGGTCAACACGCATGCCATACAGAATGTCCTACAGCACCAAGTCAAAAAACATGTTTTTTATTGTAACCCTGGACCTCTAGGCCCAAGGGAACGCTGTCAGTTATGACACTAGAATCAAAGTGACCCATCCAGATTGAACCTCTGAAGGGAAGTTGGCTCCTGCAGCTGAATCACCACCACTACCACAAACTCTAAGTAGTGTGAAGATTAATATTGATATTGATGTTATTTTTTTAATTGTCAGTAGCAATATAAACTCCATTGTAAAGAAAATGATGTCAGATGTCAACTTTCAGGTCTAGAAGAGACCCTAACATTCATCTCCAGTTTCTCATGCTTACAGGTGAAGACACTGAGGTTCAGAGAGATGAAAGTACTTGTGCAGGGTTGTAGCTAGATCATGGCAGACCTGAGACCAGACCCCATTTCATACTAACTTACTACCTCATTCTTTGAGGGGAAAAGAAAGAATGGTTGATGAGGGTGGGAAGATAGAGGTGCTTTACTTCTTGCTGCTGCGAGTCAAGCAGAAGGTGGACATCTTCACTACTCCACCCTCGCTCCCAGCTTCATTTATATTCTTGTACTCTTCTTCCTGCTTGTCTGTTACTCAGAGCAAAGTACAATCCCTCCTGTGATCCAAGGAGCTTTCTTTCAGAGGACTGACTGTACGTGAAGACAGGAAACCTATTGGGCTTTCCCTGTTGGGAATGCCATTCAGTACTCCCACGTAGGACATGCCTTCAACCCTGCTGATGGAGTCACTTAAAATGCCCTTGGTTGTTTAGGATTGGGCAAGGGAGAGGTAAAATGCCCTTGGCTTCTATAATGTAAGTTTCACAAATTTACCCTCAGAATTGAGCCATTTATCTTGATGATCCAGGGAATCAGGGAGCAAGGTGAATACAGGTTGCACTGAATAATAACAAAAGTCATCTCCCTCATACAAAGAAACGACCATCTTTTATATACACATATTCACGTACATATCTGGGCCTGCTTACACCAATAGAAAAATTCACTCTTTAGCTGAGCACTAGAAATAAACATGCACATTATATTGACAGAAAAATTGACAAAACAGGAAAGGCTACTTATAGGATAGGCAGAACAGATAATAAACTGATGAAAGGTGAGGGATTATTTTAGTGTTTGAACTCTTTTCCTTTTAATGGCAGGGCCCCCATATTTGCTATCCGTGTGCTCACAAATTTGTATTAACTTTGAGTCTATACTTGTGAAGAATCTAAGTCTTGTACAAGTAAACATTTTAAAATTCTGTTTGAGGTTGCCTCATCTGAATACCCCTTCCCTGAGAGTGTTGCTCTGTTATAGATACCAGTGTTTCAGCGAGGCGGGAGTGTAGTGCCAATAAAGACAACTGTAGGAAAGTCCACAGGCTGGATGGCTGAGTCTCCGTATGGACTCCGGGTGGCTCTAAGCACAGAGGTATTTGGAAAATGTTGCCTTCACACATTTTATTTGTTGCTGCTCTATCTCTTTACAATGGTAGCCTTTTGAGTGTGTGACATTATGTAATAGGGATGAACCTCATCCATGGGATAGGTGCTTCAGGTGTTTATCTAGAAATCAGTTTTGAATCATTCCTGAATCATTGTCCAGCTTGTTTGACTTGCCTAGAATTGTTCTTAAAGGAGGTCTGAGAACTGGAAATGATAGAACTTTCCTCTGGGGCACTGTGAACCTTGGTGCTTCGCAACCTGACATTGATTACCACTGGACTGAAGGGCCACTGGGCCCAGGCTGCCTGCCACATGGGTGAACCTGAAACTCAGTCTCCCAGGCAAGGGTATCTGTATCTGTGCAGTGTTCCAGGGACGCCACCCCCATGCAATGACTTCTGTTCTCATCAGGTGGCTCAAACAACTAAAACCTCCTTAAGTAAAACCTGGAAGGATCCAGAACTGATTTGTCCTTTTGAGCCAAACTGTATACTTTACAGTTTGGCCTATAGAGGCCTATAACAGATTCTTCTCCTTATCCATTTGCCCAAATACAGTACCAAACAAAAATTCTTACTCATGCAAATATTACAAAATAGTTAAGCTTTCATTTTCTTACATCCTTCTTTTCCATCTGTTTCACTTAGGTATGTTTTATTGGGCCAAACTATGGGTCTCAGGCCCAAAATATAGTACAAGTGACTCAAGTTTCCTAGCACATCAAGCATTGTCAATTACAGTAAGCTGCCACATAAAGTGCTGTGACGTTGTTTGACATGAAGAAGGAGTCCTCCTACTAAAAAATGTAGGAAGTAAATATCATTCTCTACATGGAGGGTCTTCTAAAGATACTTGCTCTCATGCGTTATATACTAATTTTTTCTTAACTTCAGTTTTATTCTATGGACTTTTGTGACCTGTTGTCCCGTTCTAGGATAGTATTTTCAGGGAAGCCACCTATGTCACTGACCATACTTCATAGTTTAAATTTCATTCAACAAGGCCTAACTCTTTGTACCCCTCTTAGATGACTTCTTTATTTATATTATTTCATTAATGGGTATTGGATGTATATATTTGTATGACTACTTTGTACAGCTTGAATATTAAGCTTTTGTTCAATATAATATTTTACAAATTTTTAAATCTATTATTTTCTTTAGTGGGTGGCATTCTTTTCCTAGAAAGCTACTATATAACCTACATTCTCTTTCTTGATTTACTCTCCAGGGTTCTGCTGTGGGTGAATTGTATCTCGACGACGGACATTCATTCCAGTACCTCCACCAGAAGCAATTCTTACACAGGAAGTTTTGTTTCTGTTCAGGTGTTCTGAGCAACAGGTAATGGCAGCTAAAAATCTGCATGTTCTCTGAGGTAAATTTTGCCACCTTTTCACTATCCTCAAATACATAGCTAATATTTTAAGATACAGTTTAAAGAAGTTAATGATGAAGACCATTTGTGGAATATTTTTCTTTTCTTTTTTTTTTTCAGCTTAATTCAGGAATAATTAACAAATAAAGCTATAATATATTTAAAGTATGCACCGTGATATATGGTATACATTGGCATTGTGAAAGGATCCAACCACAGAATTAATTAATACATCTGTCACCTTACATATTTACCTTTTTTTGACGAGAACACTAAAGCTCTACTCCCTTAGCAAATTTTAATCATACAATACAGTATTATCAATTATAGTCACCATGTTATACATTAGATCCTCAGACCTTATTCATCTTATAACTGAAAATATGTACCCTTTTACCAGCCTCTCCCTGTTTCCTCCACCCCCCGGCAACCACCATTCTATTCTCTGTTTCTGTGAGCTTGACTTTTATTTTTTTAACATTCCACATATAAGTGATATCAGGCAGTATTTGTTTTTCTCTGTCTGGCTTATTTCACTTAGCATTATGCCTTCCAGGTTTATCCATGTTGTCACAAACGGCAGGCTGTCCATCTTTTTTAAGGCTGAATAATATTCTGTTATGTATATGTACCATATCTTTATAAATTCATCTGTTGACAATAGATTGTTTCCATACCTTGGCTAGTGTAAATAACCCTGGAGTGAACATGGGGATACAAATATCTCTTCAAGATAGTTATTTCACTTCCTTCAGATATCTACCCAGAAGTAGGATTGCGGGATCATATGGTAGTTCTATTTTTAATATTTTGAGGAACACCCATACTATTTTTCATAGTGGTCATACCAGTTTACATTCCCAGCAACAATGTGCAGGGTTCCCTTTTCTTCACCAGCATTTCCACCATCATTTATCTTCTTGATAATTAAACATCTTAACAGGTGTGAGGTGACGTCTCATTGTGGTTCTGATTTGCATTTCCCTGATGATTAATGATATTGAGCACCTTTTCATGTACCTATTGGCTTTTCATGTGTCTTTATGGAAAAATGTCTGTTCAAGTCTTTTGTCATTTTTTTCATCTTACGATTGTTTTATTTTACAGTTTACTAATTGTTATTGAGGTTGAGCATATTTTCTTTTTTAAATTTTTTTAAAAGATTTTACCTTTTATTTTTAGAGTGAAGAAGGGAGGGAGAGAAACATCAATGTGTGGTTGCCTTTCAAATACCCTCTACTGGGGACCTGGCCCACAACCCAGGCATGTGCCCTGACTGGGAATCGACAGCAACCCTTCGGTTCACAAGCAGGCGCTCAGTACACTGAGCCACACCAGCCAGGACTCTTTGCCAATTTTTAATTGGGTTATTTTATTTATTTTTGCTATTGAGTTATATGAGTTCCTACTATATTTTGGATTTTAATTATATATTTGGACATACCCTTATCGCATATGTGGTTTACAAATATTTTCTCCCATTCTATAAGTTGCCTTTTCATTTTGTTGATGGTTTCCTTTGCTGTGCAGGAAATCTTTTTAGTTTGATGTAGTGCCACTTGTTTATTTTTGCTTTTGGTATCAAGTTCCAAAATTCACCACCAAGACCAATATCAAGGAGATTACTTCCTATGTTTTCTTCTAGGAGATTCATGGTTTCAGGTCTAACATTCAAATATTTAACCTTTTTTGAGTTGATTTTTTATATAGTGTAAGATAGGGGTCTAATTTCTTTGTTTGTTTGTTTATTTGCATGAGGATATCCATTTTTCCCAAAACTATTTATTGAAGAGACTATCCTTTCCCCATTTTATATTTCTGGGGTCTCCATTCCGTTCCATTGGTTGATGTGAGTTTTTATGCTAATACCATACTGTTTTGGTTACTGTAGCTTTGTAATATAGTTTGAAATCTGGCCTTGTAATGCCTCCAGCTTTGTTCCTCTTGATCAAGATTGCTTTAGCTATTTGGGGTCTTTTGTAGTTCCATGTTAATTTTGGGATTTTTTTCAATTTCTGTGGAAAATGCCATTGGAATTTTGGTAGGGGTTACATTGAGTCTGAAGATTGCCTTGGATACTACAGCTATTTTAGCAATATTAATTCTTACAACCATGAACACAGGCTATCTTTCTATTTGTTTGAGTCTTCAGTTTCTTTCATCAATGTCACAGTTTTCAGTGTACAGATTTTTCACCTCCCTGAGTAAATTTATTCCTGGGTATTCTTTTTGATGCTATTATAAATGCAGTTGTTTCCTTAGTTTCTCTTTCTAATAGCTTATTGTTAATGTACAGAAATACAACTGATTTTTGTATATTGATTGTTGTATCCTTCCACTTTACTGAATTTGTTTATTCTAACAGTTTTTTGGTGGAGTCTTCACGGTTTTCTATATATAATGTCATATCACCTGCAAATAGACAGTTTTTTTTAACTTTAGCCATTTTATTCGGTGAGTAGCAGTGTGTCATTATACTATTTTTATTGAATTTATTGAGGTGACAGTGGTTAACAAAATTATACAGATTTCAGGTGCATAATTCGGTAACACATCATCTGTGCACTGCACTGTGTGGTCACCGCTGGCCCAGTTTTACTTTTTCTGATATGGATACCTTTTATTTTGTTTCTTTCCCCCCCTAATTGCTCTGGCGAGGATGTCCAGCACTGCGTTGAATAAAAGTGATGAGATTGGGGATCCTTGTCACCTTTGAGCATGATGTCAGCTGGGGGCTTGTCATATATGGCCTTTATTATGTTAAGATATGTTCCTTCTATACCCAATTTGTTGATGGTTTTTATTATGAAAGGATATTGGATTTTTGTCAACAGCTTTTTCTGCATCACATGACTTTTAAAATTAAATGTATTAGGGGTAACATTAGTTAGTAATATTATATAAATTCAGGTGTACAAGATCATGTGGTTTTTATCCTTCCTTTTGTTAATGTGGTGTATCACATTTATGAGTAGTGATTTGTTATGTTGAACCATCTCTGCATCCCAGGGGTAAATTCCACTTGATTGTGGTGTCTAATCTTCAGAGTGGTCTGTTGAATTCAGTTTGCTAATTTTTTTTTTTTTTTGAGGATTTTTACATCTGTGTTCATCAAGTATATTGGCCTGTCATTTTCTCTTCTTGCAATGTGCTTGCTGGTTTTGGTATCAGGGTAATGCTGGCCTTATAAAATGAGTTTGGAAGTGTCCCCTCCTATTTTATATATATATATATATATATATATATATATATATATATATATATTTTTTTTTTTTTTTTTTTTGTAAGAGTTTGAAAAGGATTTGTGGTAATTATTTAACATTTTGTAAAATTTGCCAGTGAAGCCATCTGGCTCTAGACTTTTCCTTATTGGGAGGTTTTAATTACTGATTTAATCTCCTTACTAGTAATTGGTCTGTTCAGGTTTTCTATTTCTTCATGATTCAGTATTGGTAGGTTGTATGTTTCTGGTAATTTATCTATTTATCCTAGCTTATCCAATTTTGTGGCATATAGTTGTTCATAGTAGTTTCTTATAATCCTTTGTGTTTATGTAGTATAAAATATAATGTCTCCTCTCTCATTTCTGATTTTATTTGAGCCTTCTCTCTTTTTTCTTGGTGAATCTAGCTAAAGGTTTATCTATTTTGTTGATCTTTTTAAAAAACCAGCTTTCAGTTACATCAACTTTTCCATTGTTTTTTAAGCCTTTATTTCATTTTTTTCTGCTCTGATTTTTATTATTTCCTTCCTTCTACAAACTTTGGGCTTATTTTTTTCTTCTTTTTCTAGTTCCTTGCGGTGTAAAGCTATGTTGTTTATTTGAGATAACTCTTTTTTCTTAGTATAGACATTTATTGCTATGAACTTTCCTTCTTAGAACTGTTTTCTTACATCCCAAAGTTTTGATATCTTGTATTTTTATTTTCATTTGTCTCAAGATATTTTATTTCCCTTTTGATTTTTTCTTTAACCCATTGATTGTTCAGGAGCATGTTGTTTCATCTCCACATATTTGTAAATTTTCAGTTTCTTCTTGTAATGGTCATACAATTATGGTCAGAAAAAAACCTTGATATAACTTCAGTCTTCTTAAATTTGTTAAGACTTGTTTCATGGCCTAACATATGATCTGTCCAGGAGAATGTTCCATGTGTACTTAAGAAGAGAATATATTCTGCTGCTGTTGAATGGAATGTTTTTTATCTATCTGTTAGGTCCATCTAGTCTAACATGTAGTCTAAGTCCAATGTTTCCTTATTAATTTTCTGCCTGGATGATCTGTTCATTGTTTAAAGTGAGGTATTGAAGTCCCCCACTATCGTTATATTGCTAACTATTTCTCCTTTCAGATTAATATTTGCTTTTATATTTTAGGTGCTCTAACATTGGGTGTTTACAAATGTTATATCCCCTTAATGAATTGACCCCTTTATCATATGTAATGACCTTCTTTGTCTCTTGTTACAGTCTTGGCATAAACTCTGCTTTATCTGATATAAATGTAGCTACCCCTGTTTTCTTTTGGTTTTTATTTGCATAAATGTCTCTTTTTCCATTCCTTCACTTTCACTCTGTGTGTGTCTTTAAAGCTAAAATGAGTCACTTAATGGCAGCGTATAGCTGTTTTTTGGTTTTTGGTTTTTGGAGTGTTTGGTTGTTTGTTTGTTTTTTCTGTTTGTTTTTCTTATCCAGCAACACTATGTCTTTTGGTTGGAGAATTTAGTCCAAATACATTTAAAATAATTATTGATAGGAATAAACTTACTGTTGTCATTTTGTTAATTGTTTTCTAGCTGTTTTGTAGTCCCTTTGTTCCTTTCTTCTTTTTTTCTCTTCCTTTATACTTTGATGAATTTCTATAGTGGGAAGCTTTGATTCCTTTCTTTTTATCTTTTGTGAACTTACTATAGGTTTAGGCTTTTTGGTTACCATGAGGCTTACATAAAACATATGTTATTTATAACAGTCTATTTTAAGCAGATAAATTAATTTTGAGCACATACAAAAGCTCTACATTTCTACACTCTCCTCCCCACATTTGTTTTTGATGTCATAATTTATGTCTTGTTGTAATGTGTTTTAACAAATTACTGCAATTATAATTAGTTTTTAATACTTCTGTCTTTTAACCTTTATACAAGCATTATAAATGATTTACCCACAACCATTACAGCATTAGAGTATTCTGGATTTAACTATATGTTTACATTTACTAGTGAGTTTAATGTTTCATATATTTTCACATTACTAGTTAGCATCCTTTCATTTCAGCTTGATGAACTCCCTTTAACATTTCTTATAAGACTGGCCTAGTGATGGTAAATGCTTTTAGCTTTTGTTTATCTAGAAAATACTCTCTCCTTCAATTCTCAAGAACAACTTTGCTAGAGTATTCTTAGTTGGCAGGGTTTTTTTCTTGAATATATCATCTCACTCCCTTCTGACCTACAAGGTTACTGCTGAAAAATTGCTGATTGTTTTATGAGGTTTCCTTGTACATAACAAGTTACTTTTTCTTGCTGCTTTTAAGATTCTCTTTTTTTAAAAACATTTGACAACTTAATTATGTGTGCTGCTGTGGATTTTTTACATTTATCTTTTTTAGTACTCATTGAGCTTCCTGGATCTGGATGTCTGTTTCTTTCCCCAGGTTAGGGAAGTTTTTAGCCATATTTCTTTCAATAGGGTTTCTGCCCCTTTCTCTTCTCTTTTCCTTCTGGGACTGTTATAACACGTATGTTGGTCCACTTCATGGTGTCCCATAAATCTCTTAAGCTATCTTTACTCTTTTTTACTCTTTTTCCTTTTTGCTCCTTTAATTGGATGAATTCCACTGTCCTGTACTTGTGTTCAGTGATCTTTTCTTTCACTTGATCTAATCTGATGTTGAAACCCTTTATTGAATTTTTCAGTTTGGTTATTGCATTCCTCAGCTTTACAGTTTCTTTTTGGCACTTTTTAAAATATTTTCTATCACTTTGTTGAAATTCTCACTCTGCTCATGCATTACTTTCTGACCTTGGTATTTTTATCACCATTATTTCAAACTCTGTATTGTGTAAATAACTTCTCTCTATTTCATTAAGGTCAATTTCTGTAGACTAATCGTGTTCTTTTGTTTGGAAGACACTCCCTTGTTTCTTCATTTTCCTTCACTCTCTGCACTAGTTTCTGCACACTGGATAAAACGTCTACCTCTTCCAGCCCTAATAGACTGATTTTGTATAGGAGATGAACTTCATCAATCACCCTTGCCTGAGCTCCTGGTTGCCTCTCAAGCTTTTGTGATTATCCAAGCTGCCATCTTTGTTCTTAGTGGCTGCCAGTAGTTGAGGATGTACCAAGACCCATCAGTGTTCCAAAGGGGGGAATGTAGTCAGCATCTAGATGCAATCTAATTAGAAGCTGGACCCCCAGGCCATAGCTGTAAGAGTTTGCAGCCAAACCCCTTCCAGGGAGAAACTGGGAAATGGGTGTTTTTGCCTGCTCCCTCTATGCCAAGCCCTGGGGAGAGAGCTACAGCACACCCATTAACAAGTGTGTATGTGTTTGATACAATCCTGTGGGACTGGTCAACATGAACCCTGTTAGCTATCAGCATTAGCGGTTTGGAGGCCTATCCCTCAGGTGGGAGTCTTCAAAGTTGGGGTGCTAGGAATGTGGTCCAAACCCTTCACTCTTCATGGAGAAGCTGGGAGTTGGGGTTCCCGCCCAATTGTATGGCACTGTGCTGGGGGCGGGGGCTATGCTGAGAGTGTGTCTCAGCCTTTCCTACCTGTTTTCATGTGGGTATTTTTTCAGTCACCAGATGTATAGGAGTCAGCTAGTTTCTGGATTTCTCTCAAAGAGAATTGCTCCATGTGTAGCTTCACATTTGGCTCATCTGTGGGAGGAGGGAAATTAAATTTTAAGGAATTCAGTTTAAGTCCCCATTAGTCCCATTTATTCATCCATTCAACAATACATGAAGTATCTGATTTCTTACAATTTATTTGCTGTGTCCAAGTCACACTTGCAACTTCAGTGTCGGGTGATTTCTCTCCACATGACTTGTTTAAAAAGAGAGGTTGGTTTGGCTACTGGTTACTTAGCCCTCAGCATGTAGAGTTGTCTGTTTCCATCTCTTCATCCTAGTAAATACGATCCCTATGCGGTTCAGGCTCCATAGGAAAAGGAGGGGCAGGGGGGCTAATAAGGCTGGGGGTGCTGGACCTGGCAGCCAGTCCAAACCCCTCCTTCTCTTCTTCTCCTAATGCCTTTTGCATTTACTTCAGCTGTGCCGATGAGAGGGGACATTACCCCAGCAAGTGTGTGGTGGAGCAGATCTTTGTCCTCGGCCTCAAGCAGCAGCCATCTTCTGTGACCGCCTACTCATCTGGTGAGGAAATAGCCCATTTATTTTTGTAAACATGGAAATAACTGAGGTGAAGAGATGATTAGTCTTAAAACTGACATAATGTGCTTAGCCAAGGGGGCTCTGCACTTTCTGGGAAAGATCAAATGTACTAGTGTCTACAGAGCAAGGCCATGCTGCTTCTCTTCATCAGCTGGCCTTTCTGCTCGCTGTATGGGGTTAATATTTTTCTAAGGCAAATTAATTTGGACTTGAAATAATATTGTGGCTTCTCTGAATTTTTTTTTTAAACTGTAGCTATCTGAAACCTTACTCCAGTTTATGTATGGAATTTCTTAAAGGGCATAGGATGAGATATAGCATTTCTAACCTACTGCATTTCTTGGACAAACCACTTTGTTCCTTACAGTTTCTTTTTGACCAGTCTTGCATTCAGAACAATGGAGTGTATCATGTTTTAAAAATTCATGGAATTCCATGGGTAAAAGTGGTAGGTAGGTCCTAAGTGAGGTATAAGGTTTTATGACACAGTCAGAATCATTTCTGATACAAAGAAAAAGGGCTTTTTCCCCCTAGATATTCACCAAATTTTCCTTTTTATTCTCTTGATATTTAGATGGTAAAGATCAGCCTGTGGATTTTATGTATTGTGCCAAAACGTCCACCCTGCGCCTGGAGAAGCTCTCACTGAACATTGGAACTGACTGGGAGGTCCGCATTAAATGACAAAGAAGTACCTCTGGTTACAAGTGCGAGGAGCAACCTGAACCCTTCAAAGTTCCCCTTGGCCTTTTTTCGAGTTATGTTGCACCCTTGTTGACTTCTCTGGCTCAAAATAATCTTTCATTAGTCATCAGTTTGCTAGTGAACACCAGATTTCAGATTTTGCATTTTTAGATGTATTAGTAATACTCCTTGTGTCAAATACCACCCCTTCTCCTAGTTGCAGGGAGCCCTGAGGCATTTAGAGTCCGTGCATCTTCCATTGCTTCTTAGGCCATGGCCCTGTGCCAAGCCCTGTGGCCTGGTGAGCGGCTGCCCTTTGAGCTCGGCAGGATGGGTTTATTTCATGTGAGATGCGGGCCGAGCTCCCTAGTGTGGCCCATTTGTGGAAGCTTGACTCTGGCTGTGCAGCAGTCACTCTGGCTGTAGGAGCGGAGTCACTCGAGGCCTATCTCCAAGTGGACAGCAGCCTCCGGTACCCCTCCCGGTTAGCTCTCACCCCTCAGACATGGGCAAAGCAGCCCTTTTCTGCTTGCACTGCACACACTTCGACAAAAGGGAGTTATTCTCCCTAGAGGTTGACTCAGGACTATAAAGGGTTCCTTTCCCTGTCGTGCTTTTTTGGGCACCAAAGTTCCACATTAATCTTCTTAAAATTCTAATTTCTTAATTGTTTTTATTAAATACTGTCTACCAAGCAAAGGATATTTGTAACATGAACAAGTTATAATTAATAATAAAATAAATACCATGTCCCCTCCACTGAACCTCATAAATAGAACACATGGCTTTGACAAACTTGCCTTGGATACAAAAAAAGTATGACCCAAAAATTGGTAACCAGAATAAATTATATTTAAATGCAACATTTTAGAAAATCAAAACTCATGTAAAAAAATCCATGATAAACAAGATATCAAAACTTTAAATACAGACAGGATCAGGACTGCTGAGTCCTCCTTCTGCCTCTGGCTCCAGTATAGCTTAACGAGGGATGAAACATGACCTCATGCCTGTCCCTCAGGATGCCGCCTGCTCTGGGGCCCCCAGGGACTTCCTGCGGCCTGCAACAGCATCTGTGGGGGCAGCCGCAGGTCCTCAGCGCTCTTCCACATGCACATTTACTTAGCAGACTTTCTCCGCTTAGCAATTTGCCAAATGCCACCTCTATGTCTTCTGTTCCCTAGGCCCCAATCCCCACCCCTTCCCCTCTGCCTAGGCCCATCTGACCATCTGTCAAGGCCCAGCGCAAACCCTCCTTTTCTCTTAAGCCTTTCTAACTACCCTGACACCCCCATTCCCTGTACCCATCAGCAGTGATTATCCCCCTCTCTGAAATCCTGCCTCAGTTATATGTGTTGCAACTTATCGTTCACAGGGACCGTCTCTTAAGGTTTCAGGTTTGTCTGCCTTGTTCCCCTACTGAATTGTGTGTCCCTCAGGAACATGTTATATTTGTCTTATATCTGCCAGAGCACCGTTATATGTGACTTTTAGTAACTATTAGCTGTAATTGGTTAACTGATGGATTTGATTGATTAAAAAGTGAGAATTGAATATACTTGTTTCTGATACACTTTTCTGACACAGGGCTCTTCCCTCCAGAAGTGGTAAACATTGTACATTTCCTCGTGGACACATTTCATTGTATCAGTTGAAATTTGAGTTCTGTACCATATATAAACTCACATAGACATGCAGATTTTTTGCTCCTGTTTCTGTAAGTTTTGCAATTAAAGAGAAAGGAAGAAGCCCACATTAGTTGAAGTTGTATTTCCCAGCTTCAAATTTCCCTTGCCAGCCTGTAGTAAGGCTTAACCTGAAAATTATGTGCTCATAACTAATAAAAATGACGGGTTTTAATAGCATTTAAAGCTGACTATTTAAGACCTATATTCAGGTCAACATTAATTGCATGTCTATTCTTCCATTTAAAATATTTTTGGAGGAAGGAATGAAGAACTAGTAGAATAAGTTAGTGAGGAACTGCTCTGTCTTGCCAGAACTGTAATGAAACTGGAATATTTAACTTGAGACATTGAGTGGAGAGAAATAGAGCCTGGGTGTTTTTAATTGTTTTCTGCTGTTATTGCTTCTCACATTTTATGCACTTCCTATTTCTGAAGCTATGTACCAGAGAGCCATGTGGAGCTCAGCTGGCCTACAGGTGTTCTGTTATCTTATATACTTCTTGATGTGTTTTCTCAGGAAATTGGATTTTATATAAGAAACTAGAACCATTTCAAGAGAGCTTCAAACAAAGCTCTAAAATGAACACGTGATATATGTTTTCCTCAAGACCTAAATACCAAGGAATTGTTACCGAACAAAAGGACCCGTGGGGGGCGGGGGTGCCCAGATGCTATTACGGAAACAACGACACCCTTCTTCCCCGGGACCCCTCGGTTGTGGGTCCTTTGTCCGCCGCCCTTGGAATTATGGCTCTGAATGGCAGAGTTTGGTGAAAAGGAAAAGGAACTATTTATTCAAAAATTATACAAGTTTGATTAATGGCTAAATGTCACCCTTAAATCTCAAAATCCCTTCAAAACAACCACCAGCACACACACCGTCCTGCCTTCCCCCCTTTGCCCAGTCAGGCCAGTCAGGGGTATCGTCCTTCATAAGAAAGAAAAGAACAGAAGTCTGGGGCTTGGCTAGGCAGACCTCTTGCAGGTCTCAGCACCATCCACTGCGTCACCATGATCTCCAGCTCTTAATCCATAACCATGTGGCACGTTCTCATGGCCCACTAGCAAGAGTCCTTTCTCCCCTCTTTCTTCCCGCGTGGTCTTCACACTGTTCCCCAGAGCCTGTGTCCCTTTGTCTCTCCTGCAGGCCCCTGTCTCTCTTCCCTCTCTCCCAGTTACATTCTGTATAAAGTCTTTGAAACCTTTCTGATTAGCTTTGGTGATATGCAAAATAACCCTCTTTGCCTATGAGGAATGAAGCAATCCTGTTATTGACACACAAAATGACTCTCCCTGGCCCTGCTCAAGGCTCCCATCCCCCATGGCAGCCTGCCCTGGGGGAGAATATATTTTTCTTGGATACCCCAATCTCTGGACCCCGTTACAAATACCCTTTGGGGGGGCCCTGGCTGTGCCCCATTACAGAATGAGTTGACAAATCAGTTTAAAATCAGAAACTGCCCTATAAAAATATAGGTAAAAGCAATTCACAAAAAAATTGAAATAAATGAAATAAGCATGAAAGATGCTGAGTCTCATTAATAATCAAATAAATGTTGGGTTTTGTTGTTTGTTTGTTTGTTTTTTGCCTGAGTGGCCAAAATTAAAGAGTGAAAATGTTCAGTGCTGACGTTGGTGTGGGGCAGAGGCATTCTTGTGAATTGCTGGTAGGATCTGAAAAAAATATAATCTTTCAGGATGGCAATCTGGCAATGGAATCAAAATTTTAAATTTGCATACTCTAACCCAGTAATTCCACTTGAGATAAATCTCTCAGAGCTACTAATTGCAATTTGGTTTATACGGTGGAAAACTAGAAATAAGCTAAATGTCCTTTACCAGAGGATTGGTAAATATAGTCCTTTCATGCAGTGAAATATTATGCAACCATTAAAATAATAATCTACTCTATCAATATAGCAGTGGTTTTGATTAAATGTTTACTGATTGATCTTCTTTAAGTGAAACTTATAATAAACCAAATTTGAGGGATGTGAGGTTTACAAAAACCGATATGAGGAACTGTTCCAGGATGAGGGGGGCACTAAAGAGACACAGCAGCAAACACGTGATCCTGGCCCAGCTTCTGGACCTACAAACGGTGTTCCTGGGACAGTTCACAAAATTTGAATGGGATCTTTTGCTTACGTGCTAATTTTCTTAATTTGTAGGGTTGTACTATGATTATAAAGAATTCCCCTGCTTTTAGGAAATACATACTGAAATATTAAATGGTAACGGGTCATGATATTTCTAATTTACTCCTAAGTGGCTCAGAAACAAATTTATGAAGCAGAGATAGAGTCAAGGAAAGAATATAGGCAAAATGTGTTAAAATGTCACAATTGAAGAATCTGGGTGAAGCATATACAGAAACTCTATACTGTATTTTCAGCTTTCTTATAAACGTTAAACTATTTCAAAACAAAAAGTTTTTAAAAATAGCACTGGACCATTCTCTATAATATCTAGTAGTTTTAAAGTTTGGTTTAAGGCTTATAAGCTGTGGCATGTAAATAGGATGAAAAATGTAGTTAATTATGAACTCCAGTACAAGAGAATGTCTCATGCTGCAGACCACTTCATACTCTTCATCAGATCAGCCGTTCTTCACCTGAGAACCGCTGGGTCAGGCCAAATCCTCTCCTTCAGGGAACCACACACCATCCTCTGAGCACCAGGCCAGCAGCTTCAGACCCTGCACCACAGAGGCCTTGTCTGACCACAGGAGCTGGCAAGAGAGCCTTTCAGATGGTATTTACACTGAGAAATAGAATAGAATACGTGTTTATGGCAGGCATTTACTTAGGGCACATACCCTGAAGAGTGGCCAGGGAAAGTCCTTCACACATTTGGAAGGCCAGCGTGGCCACCTCCCTTTTTGCCCCAGACCTAAGCCATCCTGCAGGTTCTGGCCATGGTGCCTAGGGTGGTCAGTTCCTGCCAGACGTGAAACCAGGATGCAAGTTCCAGTTAGACTAGGCACCCAGACTGCCCAAGGAGGCTGGTTTCATTTAAGATTGACCCATGGGATTAATTACATTCTGGGGTACAGCCTGCTGTTACCGAATGGACCCATTTGGGGGCCCAGTACCATTACTGAAACAATACCCTCCCCGCAGCCCCCCCCCCCCCCCCGCTGAGGTCCTTCTGTTCTTGGTTCTTTGCCCTCCACCCTTAGAAATGATGGCTCTCAATGGCAGGTTTTGGTGAAAAGGAAAGGATCTATTTATTCAAAAGTTATACAGTTTTTGAATAATGGCTAAATGTCACTGTTAAATCTCAAAATCCCTTTAAAACGCCCACCAACACACACAGTCCTGCCTTCCCCGCTTTGCCCAGAGAGGCCAGTCAAGCCAGTCAGGGGTACCATCCTTCAGAAGAAAAAGAACAGAAGTCCGGGGCTCGGCTAGGCAGGCCTCCCACGGTTCCCAGCCCCATCAGCTGTGTCGCTGCGATCTCCAGTTCTTAATCCAGAACCACGTCGCACCTTCTCGTGGCCCACTAGCAAGAGTCCTTTCTCCCCTTTCCTTCTACATGGTCTTCACATTGTTCCCCTATGTCTCATATCTTTTGGCAGCCTCCCTTTAGTTTAAATTCCGGGCTGAAACCTCCTCTGTGGCCCCATTTCTGACTCCTCTCACAACGGCTACACTTGCTAACACTCCCTTATTTTCTGCCTTTCTTGGCTGTCATAGTTATTCCGGGCAGGTGTGGCACCCTGGAGTGGAAGGAACCTTCTCGAAGCTCCGAAGCTCCGCTACACAGGCGCTGTAACTGGGGGAGCTGTCTCCCAGTTACATCTTAGGATAAAGTTATGCAAACCTTCTTGGTTAGCCTTGTTGATATGCAAAATAACCATCTTTGCACATGAGGTAGGAAGCTATCCTGCAAAATGCAAAATGACTCTCAAAGGCCCTGCTCCGTGTCTCCCATCCCCCCAGGGGCAGTCTGCCTTGTGGAGGCGGGGGAGATATCTTATATTTTTCTTGGACACTCCACATTCTGGAGCCTGTTACAAACCCCCCCTCTGGGGGAGCCCTAGCTGGACCCCGTTACAACTTCAGAACTAAATAAACTCCATGGTCATAGTCTCACGTGTCAACATGATCAAAGCCAAGCCTGGATTGGTCCATTCACCTAAATGCTCCCTAGAGCAGAAAGCACAGCTTGTCACCAATAGTTTTGCCTTAAAGTTGTGCTGAGCCTTGTATCCTGGCTAACTAAAACCCACCAGTCAGATCACTAATGCAGTAGTAAAGACTGCAGTTCTAGAGTCTGGTCTGAGTGCAGAATTCCTGCACTTGTTCACATCCCTTTCACTATCAGGTTATTATAATAATAGGCAACAGAAACACAGTCAACAAAACGCATAAGTATCTGTAGCTTAATGGTGTTTTAGCTCATAATTGGCCATCCTACCTAACAGCCTTCCTAGTAATGGAATTCCCATGACAGTATCTGGCATTCCGCTCTGCTTTTAAGGTTTCCACCTACCAAATCCTTGGATTGTCCTGCACAGTTCCAGCAGGGCACTCTAGACTAAAATAACTTCTCAGCCTGGGGAATAGAAAGACAATAGCAGATCTACTGCAAACAGATAGCCACATTAACCACAGACAATGAGGCCATATAGCTGGCATTCTAGGAGAAATAAAGGAGACACTGGCATCTGATATCAGATCTGCGTGTCCTATGACCAGCATTGCTAAAGGCTGCAGAGCCAGAGCAAGGCCAGCCAGAGCTAGGCAGCTGCTTCTTGACAGTTTTTCCAGTAGGGCTGATAGTGTTAGATTCCTCTCCAATCAGAGCTACGGAAAAGAAAAGCCCTGAC